ACAGGTATGCAGCACCTGTAAGTCGTAATCGCCCAGTGAAAGTCGAGTATTCCAAGCCTCAAGGTTACGAATACTCGCAGTACCAAGTGGATGTGATGTGCCGCGGAAGTGGGGAGGAATGCAGAGCCACCTCAGGTGGAGAGAGATTCGACTAAGACAGAATGCAGCAGAGAGAGAGGGGGGGGGAACAGCCAAGGTAACTCGATGGCGAAGCTGTCTGAGCTAGCGAGAGTCAAGACGGCAGTGGCCCGGCGTGGAGAGGCCTCAATTGCTTGGTGGAAAGGTCGAATTGGAATCGTGATTGGCTCTCCGGGAGACTTGAGGTGAGGTGTCGTGCAGTTGCGGGCTGCCCGTCGCTGGGTCTAACGGGGCTGCTTATGGGCGCTAGACAAAGTGCACCGTAGCCAGTGAAAGGCAGAGAACAGGCAGCGGGAAAACAAGAGTAGACGGTGGCGCCGGGGCAGCCGTTCGGACGGTGTTCCGCGGTGACCTGACTATTATTAGTGCCGTGTTCCTATGATTGGACGCTGGCCGACGGCGCTTTCTCACCTGCAAATCCCTACGTCGTCCACCAGATCTTTCGGATGCCTTGTCTGCCGGGAAGACGTGTCGACAGCCAGTACCGGTGGTGATGCGGTGGCAGGGCGAAGCGGAAATCTTGTTGGATGAGGTGATTTCCGTGTGTAGCCAAGACGGGACACAAGAACTTGTGCTGCTGAGGCTGAAAGTTTCGATGCGCCGATGAGGATGGTAATTAAAGCGAGTTGGAAGCACACAAGAGAGCGAGAACTCGTCAGACACCCGACAGAACAGTCAGGTTGTGATCGGAGTGGGGCCGGAAGGAGATGCCGGAGAGAACGAATATGTGTATGATGCCGTAATGCGAATTACAGCTGGACAGGGAAGGGAGGATGCGAGGGGGGTGATCGAGATGGGGAAAAACTCGGAGGTGACGAGGGTGAGAAAATGAGCAGGAAAACGGGAACGAGTAGGCGTTGTGCGACTGCCTTGTTGGTTTGAAGGAGAAGGAAAGCTCTGGGCTCTCAACTTCTTGGCTGGAATTCGAATGATGAAATTGGTTAGAGGAACTGATCACGAGCTGCTCTTTCTCTTCATCTTTGTCAACATCATCGGACTCAACCATCGTTTTATCCCATTTTCTTTGGCTCTTTCATCCCATCCCTCCCAAGGCTCCTCTATTGTCAATCTCATTCTCGAGTGCATTCGATTTTCTTGCTTCACTCCGCGCGCGGCACCGTTCAGCGTCTCGACTCTTGACGCTTTTTCGACCAATATGAGCCTATCTTTTCTGGTCTTCCCAAGCGCTCTCCATCACAGGCGACCAGAGGTCCTATTTTCAGCCACCCGGCCCGGCAGCAGAAGTCTGTCCGGATGCCAGAGCGCGCGCCATGTGATGCAAAGCAGCCATTGGAGCCGGCCGCTACCATGTCGTGTCGTTGGCCGTCAGCGACTCGGAAAATTGCCTACCCATGCACCAAAGCTGCCCCCCGGCCGGACACAGGACCGACCATCTACCTACCTGCCTCGTGCCGATACGCAGATGCCCCGGCCCCGGCTCTACAGCGCGCGCCTCCAGCCTGCGCGAGGTTTGGTCGCGGCCCGGCCTCTCTCCCTCACCACCGTGTCCTAGGCGGAAGGGCCTTCGCCGGGCTGGGACCATTTGAAATCCTCTTCTCCACGCCTTGCCTAGCCCACGAAGCATCTCCCAGCTTCGGCATCGTTATTTTCTTACAGTCTAAAACTGCCAGGGTACCACAAGCGCCTTCAAAAGTTTCTACCATTCGTCAGGTTAGGATATCAACTCTTTCGCGCCTGTTTCATGTGCAGCGGCCTCTGGGAGGTTGGACTGAGCCTTCAACAGCCCCCATCACGATGCTTTTTTCTATCAAGTTGGCTTAAGCTCAAACATATGCTGCTGCTGCTGTTGTGAGAGTGTTTGGCAACCTGGGCATGAGGTTCCGCAATACATGTCTCTCTATCGGCCGGCGTTTCTTGACGAGTTGTCTGGCCGAGACGATCAAACGCACACCCTCCAACCGGATCTTTCATGGCCAAATTCATCTCTCGTCCGGTCCACGGATGATGTTGTGAAAGGGTCGTCATCGACTATAGTATATCGGAACCTGGAATTACGTGTGCTCCATCTATGTCCCAATAACATTCGTGGATGTAATCAGACTTTGCAGATGAGATACGATACTCACAAAGGGGATCCTAGAGGGAGAGCTCGTCCCACTCGATGTCCTTCTCGGGATCACTGGTGAATAATCACTTCTCCTCAGATGGTGTCCTAGCGCGTCAGATCTAAGGTATCAGAGTGCCACACTGTACATGGTCGCTTCGATCTACTGGATATAAGATCCAAGAACCTCAAAGTGTGACTGTTAACTGATAGTAGCTGTAACAATTTGCAACCGCCCAGGCTCAAGTTGTCACACCTAACTTGTCTAAGGCTATTTAGCTGGGCTCGCTCTCTATCGGGTTCGAACTTTCGATGTCCCTGAGCTGAACAGTGAAAATTCCAAGCCTCTTTCTAGTCCCCAGCCAAGGATGTGTCAAGTTTCTTCTTGATTCTTAGATAAACTCGATGAGATTGCCTCATTAGGAATATCGGCTGTGGCTACATGCAGTACCTTACGTACGAATGGAGGCGTGTTCGGGCGGCTACAACGAAAAGCAAGTATGTGAATGACCGTAGCCTCTTGTGGAAAGGCTCGCAACGTGTTGCAATGCGTTAAAGCAGCAAAATAATGTTGTTTCCGCAAAGAATCCTCAATCTTTGTCTCATGAAATAAAAAGACACCCCCTCACTCGTCGCCAACGCTGAGGAGCAAGGTTAATATCCATCATCACACATCTCGACATCCATGTTTCTGTGCGTGTCACTCTTCCGCATATACGATTCGGCTCATCAAACATTTGCCGCTTTATTCCAAGCCCCCCGAGCAGCGGTCTAATTGTCCTGGGCCCGCCGCCCTCCATTGTTGTCGCGTTGATAAGCGCTACTCAGGCACTCACAGGATTCGCTGGGCAAGGGGATAGAATCCTTCGCGCCTGTTTTCTTATGCAGCCCCCCTGGGCTGAGGATACCATTTGCCCAAACCCGCGCCAGTTCCGCGCGAAGCAAACACATCCCACTCTGGAGGGCGACACTTGGGACAGCGACAATGGATCTCGCCCTTGTCGGGTCTGCAGCCACACAAATCTCGTCAACTGCTGCCTTGAGGTGTGGACGCCTCCTGTTGGTTTTCTCGTTGGTTTTGAATCGCGAGGGGTGTGTATAATGTGTGCGTTTATGGCACTTTGGAAATGTCATCTGTTGGAACCCAAAGGTAGACGAGCTCGGGTCAAGTTAGGCTGGGGGGATGCGATTCTGCGAAGCCAATTACCTTGCGATATAGGTCAAGTATGCCTTGAAGGCCGCGTCTCCTGGCGCGTGGTTTGAAGGATGGCGCTTGAGATGGTATGCAGACAGAATGATAGACGTCGCTCTGATCGACGGACAGCACGCCCCTGGTGTTGTCATTGTGATGTCTGCTTCGTTGGCAGTCGATGGGCGGATGCTTCTTCTGGAGGCGGAGAGAGGGCCAACGACAAAGAATTGAGCCGTCCAACAAGATACAGGGAGCCCTCACCGACTCTTGTTGTCCTGCAAAGTCTTGTGATGGATGGCTTGCCGATGCTTCCTGAATCTCGCGTTTCCAAGCTGCATATTTGTAATCACTGACTCAATCATGTGTTCCTTTGTCAACTGAGCAACAGGCAGCGAGGAAGTGGTGGCTTTCGGTGAAGTTGACCCAGTGGGTTTTACTCGGTAGGATAGCTGAGAGGTGAACCGTAACCGGTCTCATTGCTTTGTTGGGTGTTGATATGTCCATATCTGCCAGACTGCCATGCATAGACAGAGTCGAGTTTTGCAGATATTAGTACTGAACCGACCAACGAATACAGAGGTGTCGCCTGATTTTTGACCATTTTTTTCGATTGTCTGGCTCTCAGGTACTACTTCAAAGATTGCATCCGATAGAAAGCACTTGACCCCTGGCTCCACGGTCACTTTGCTGATTCGATATCAGGTATACCACATACCGGATGTGTTCGAAGTCTTCTGGTACAAACTTTAACTCATTGGGGCTTCCAAACAATGCTCTCAAGTATATCCTAGCCTTGAAAAGACACATACGAGCCCTAAAAGGCAGCAACCCATTTCTGGCATCTGCCATAGCCTTCTGTCGCCCAATAAACACATACGTTTGACAGTAAAACGTTGGGTACGGGCAATGCAAGCTAACTGAACAGCTTTTGAAATCAATGGCGTTCCTTAGATTGGGGTGAAACAGAAGAAATCCCACAGCCTGGAGTGGTGTAGTGACGGACGTGTTTGCGCGCATGCTTAGCTACTCCGTTGAGTGTTAGCTTCCTCGAACTGGGCTACGCCATCATCACCCTGCAGTATTCACCAGTCAAATGCCATGTGATGTTTCTATTAAACCCTATACCTGTAGAGTTGACTTGAAAATCTCTGTTCCTCTAGAAATTGCAGCACCATGTAATGGAAGGAGTTGATATTGATCCCTCGCAAGCTAAAAGACGTCACTGAAGAGACACCACTGACGAGTCATTGATGTCGTTGAGCCTGATGATTCTTAGCTTTGCCACGGCATGATGTGGTTGGTCCTTGAGGAAATGTTGACACCCATTTCGTAGACGAATCGCACTCCGACTTGAGAGTTCAGGAAAGTAAATTGACACGAACATTAAGAGTACGTATACGGCCAATGCATTATATTCTTGGAGTGAGCACAAAGAGTATCACAGGTATGTCTTATTGTACCACGTTTTCTTCGTTGACACACGTTGAACCATAGTATAGTCATATTTAGATATACAGTTGTACCTTTTTGATTACTACTCTTGCATAATTTTCCGTTCTCCCTCCATCAGTGATACAAGCTATGTGAAACAGCGTCTTGCTCTATTTAGACTCGATGTTCAGCATCACTCTGATACTGTCTCTTCTCCTCATCTTCCCCGTGAGAAACCAAAGCCTCTGTCTTCTCGCTCACAGCTGCAGGGGGAGGAGCGGCAGCGTCATCGCCGTCGAAGATGACAGCCATTTGCTCCAAAGTGTGACCGCGGGTTTCGGGGTAGGTAAAGAATACGGTAATCCAAAGAAGAGAAAGCATTACAATGAAGACGATGTAGTACTTCCAGTGAATGGCTTCCAGGGCAATTGGGTTGACAAAGGTGTTGATGAAGATGGCAATGACTGTAGAGCACCACGTAACAGTGAGACCGCGAGAGCGAAGACCAAACTGCCAGATCTCGCAAGGATAGGCCGTTAGGAACGGGGTCCTGCATCTCGAAGTTAGTGCGTATTCTCAACAAAGGGCCATATCGGGACAGGAAAGCTTACATTGCGATGTCATAGCCGGCAAAGAAGATGAACAAGAACGGGATTACCGCCAGTCCCATACTTGCCGATCCGGACTCTGCGAACGAGCCACTCAGACCAGTGATTATGATAAAGCTGACCAACATAACACTGGCGGAGGTCAAGAACAGAAAACGGCGACCCAATCTGTCTACGCTAGTTGCAGCAGCAATTGCCCACAACAGGTTCCAGACGTTCAAGCAAGCCGATATCAAAGTCTGATCCGTAACCGATTCAACTCCGATGGAGTCCAGGATGAGGGGCAAGTAGTACGAGACAACTCCGTTACCCGCTAGAACGCCATATTGTTAGCATCAGGATGTCTTTGATGGTCTTGGTATATGCTTGGAGGGGTGTTAGGGTGTTGCTTACCCCACTGTGCAAAGATACCAAGACTGATGGAAATGAAGAGTCGGTGGCGGTTTCCGGGAGTCTTGATCATATCCGCATACGAGGCGCTAGAGGAAGCTTCCTTCTCTGCGTTAATGGTTGCCTGAATCTCGACGACCTGGTAGGTCACAAGAGAGTCGTTCCTGTCGCCGCCGGCGTGGTGCTTCGCAAGGATTTCGGTGGCCTCTTCGACGCGTCCCACGCTGATCAGCCAACGGGGACTCTCTGGCGCTAACAGGAAGCCGGGCAGTGCCACGAAGGGTAGAACAATCTGTATGACGACCGGGATACGCCAACACCAGTCCGAGGCAATATCGCGGCAGGCAAAGGTTACCCAGCCGCAGAGGGTACCTCCAAAATACCCTAGAGGTTTATTAGCATGCAGTGCGAGGTAAGTGCCGAAGAGGTGAAGACGTACATCCAACCATAAACAAAGCGTTCGCAATGGATCGCTGCTTCGGATGCGCGATCTCGTTGATAAGCAGAGGGGCCGAGTTACCGAGCCAAGAGGCCGCAATACCGATGAACAGACGAGAGTATGTAAAGGTCACTTCGTTCTGAGCTGCCGTCTGCATTACAACACCCAGAACGAGGAAGAGGTAGCCAAGGTAGATGCCTGGCTTGCGGCCATAGCGACCCGATGACCAAGCGGCAATAGGGAAAGCGATCCCGTTGCCGAGCCAGTAGATACCTGTGATCCAACCAAGATATGCACCCGAAGGGTTTTCCATGAAAGTGTTCCATCTCGGCAAGGCCAGGAGGCCGCCCATGATAGATCCATCGTATCCGTTGGCAGAGGCTGTTGCGGTCAACGTCAGTTGTGAAAGAGCATTGAGAATCCAGGGCCAGACTACACACAAAACAAGACCATTGACAAGGTGATGAAGTTAAGCTTCCGCAAATGGGCATGCTTGTACCAAGGCAAGCCGTCACCAGGGAGGGCAGCCAACTCTTCGACTGGTTTGCCCATGATGGCGTGGGTTGGTAACAAGATAAGGGGTAAAAGGTCTCCGGTCCGTCAAAGAGCTTCTCAGGGAGTTGTCTGGACTCAATTGAGCCTGGAAATGCCTTAGAGCAGGGTCACATCGCAGAATCCGGGGGGAAGAAGCAAGGTCTATATACAACCTCCTCCACGTGGAAAATCGGTACAGAATTGAGCAACAATTCACAGACGAAAAAAATGAGGAGGTGGAGCAGTGATTCCCGATGCCCCGGTTGTCGCGTGTTTGTCCAAAGCGTGTGGGATCGGGTCACCTAGAGGCCGGAACTAACGCCCCATGGAGAAGAAGACGCTTCCAATGCACGCCGTTGCGGGGGCCCATACGACCCACTTGGCAAACATGGAAAAGACCATGGACATTATCATATGGTTAGGTTGGAGAAAACCGGAAGCTGGGGGCGGAGAATTGAGTCAGTTGAGTATTGTTGCAATGGGACTAACGATGTTGAATACTGGCAGTCTTCAGGAGACGGTCACCGAGGCGGAGAAATACAGTCTTGGCTTGTCAGCCGGGAACTACTTAGAACAAGGAATGCCCCGAGCTTCACCCCATCATGTCGCAGTCAGTTGGGTCCGGCTTTCTGGCCGCCATCTATTTCTCCGCCTCCAGGCCTTTTCCCAATTGTGACCCGCGCGTCGCCTCGCCATTCAAGCGATTCTGAGGGAGCAAAGTGGGCATTTCATACACAGACGACTCTCATTGATTCAGACGAAACTACGTCATATCTGTCGCAATGCGATTTATACCCACCATGTGGACCAGAACCCCGCGGTCGAGGCGAGACTTAGAGAGCTTAGAGACCTAGAGCTCTCTGCGTTGTCACGGAGGAATAAAGAGACGCGCCTGTCGATCGTCGCAGCTCCTGCAACTTTTAAAATCTTCGCGTTGCTGCTGTTCCTAAGACGTTGTTAGATCTTGTACTCGGTTTTCTTCCTTCTCTTTTCCCTTCTCCGGCCACCACTCGTTACTAAGTGTCGCTATGGATGTAGAAGCGCTGATCGAGCAGCTCACGTTAGAGGAGAAAGTTGCCCTTACAGCTGGTATGTTTGTCACAACCGTCGCTCAAAACCGGCTCTAATTTATTCTCAGGCGTTGGCTGGTGGCATACGGCAACGATCGATCGCTTGGGAATCAAGCCAATTCGACTCTCTGACGGGCCCAATGGCGTCCGCGGCACCCATTTCTTCGACAGCACACCTTCCGCATGCCTCCCATGCGGAACTGCCATTGGCGCGACCTTCGATGTCGACCTTGTTCACCGCCTAGGCCGATTGCTATCGGATGAAGCTCATGCGAAAGGCGCCCATGTTCTTCTCGGACCTACAATTAACACCCAGCGCGGTCCACTGGGCGGACGTGGCTTCGAGTCGTACTCTGAGGATCCAATCCTGTCGGGTATCCTGGCGGGCCACTACGTGCAGGGAGTTCAAGAGTCGGGTGTGTCTGCGACGCTCAAGCACTTCGTCTGTAACGATTTGGAGAGTGAGCGAATGGCAATCAATGCCTTGGTCACAGACCGCGCAATGCGCGAGATCTATCTGCTGCCTTTCATGATTGCTATTGAAATGGGCAAGCCTAGGGCCATCATGACAGCATACAACAAGGTCAACAACGTCCACGCGGCAGAGAACAAGCAGATTTTGCAAGACATCCTGCGTGGCGAGTGGAAGTGGGATGGACTGGTCATGAGCGATTGGTTCGGAACTTACAGCACATCTGAGGCGATCAAGGCCGGCCTCGATCTCGAAATGCCGGGCCCGAGCCGTTGGCGCGCCGGAGCCCTCTCTCATGCGGTCATGTCCAACAAAGTCAAGGTTTCCGAGCTCGACTCTGCGGTGCGCAACGTCCTGAAGCTGGTCAAGCACGGCCTCGAGAACACATCAATCCCCCCGAATGCGCCCGAGACCGAAGCCAACACACCTGAGCATATCGCTCTGCTGCGCGAGGCAGCCGCCAAGTCACTCGTTCTCCTGAAGAATGAGAGAAATATTCTACCGTTCGACAAAAACAAGAAGATTGCCGTCATTGGCCCTAATGCCAACATCGCGACCTACTGCGGCGGCGGTAGTGCAGGACTCAGAGCCTACAACACCGTCACTCCTCTGGAAGGTGTCAAGTCCCTTGCAAGTGATGTTATCTTCTCCCAGGGCGCATATGGCCATCAGTCTTTGCCTCTTCTTGGGAAGTCCCTGAAGACGCCGGATGGAAAGCAGAAGGGCTTTGTTCTCCGAATCTACAACGACCCTCCGCCAAAGGATACCGAACGCGCGGCTGACAACCGGAAGCCGCTCGAGGAGCGGGTGCTGGATGATGCAAACATCTGGTTTGTCGACTACGAGAATGCCGACCTTGCCCCCATCTGGTGGGCCGAGACAGAAGGAGTCCTGGTCCCCGAGAGATCTGGAGAGTGGGACTTTGGCTTATCTGTTCACGGGACTGGCGAGCTGTACATCGACGGCAAGCTGGTTGTGTCCAATGTGGAGAATCAGCGCTTGGGAAGCAGTTTTCTTGGCTGCGGAACGGTTGAGGAGCTTGGCACCATGAAGTTAGAGGCTGGACGGTCCTACCGTGTTTTGGTGCGCTTCGGCTGCTCCGCCACCAGCAAGGTAAAGGCTTCCGGTACCGTCGACTTCGGCCAGGGCGGTGTCCGTTTCAGTGGCTGCCCCAGGTTGGAGCCTGCTGCCGCGATCAAGGAGGCCGTTGAAGTTGCCAAGAGCGTTGATCAGGTCGTTGTCTGCACTGGTCTGAGTGGCGAGTGGGAGTCTGAAGGGTTCGACAGAACTACTATGGCTCTACCGCCCGGAACTGACGATCTCGTTGCTGCGGTATTGGCGGCCAACCCTAATACTGCGGTCGTTGTCCAGAGTGGTACTCCGGTTGCCATGCCTTGGATCGAGCAGGCTGGGGCCGTTCTTCATGCATGGTTCGGTGGCAATGAGTCGGGTAACGGTATTGCAGATGTGCTTTTCGGAGACGTCAACCCGGTAAGAAACCCGCTTCCAAGTAGTCAACATGAAGCCAAGTTACTAACAGATATTACGACAGGCCGGGAAGCTTCCTCTTACGATGCCGCGCCGAGTGGCAGACAATCCCGCCGCCCTCAGTTTCCGTTCAGACAACGGCCGCGTTCTTTACAGCGAAGATATCTATGTCGGTTACCGGTGGTACGACACGCTCGACATCGACCCACTGTTTCCCTTCGGGCATGGTCTTTCATACACAACATTCGAAGTCTCTGATCTCGAGGTATCGGAGGCTTCAGCCAAGACTAACGGCTATAATAACGGCACTAACGGGCATGTTAACGGCAACAATGCTGTCAAGCTCCAGGAGCCCGACAACCTCGTCGTAAATGTTAAGGTTACCAACACGGGCTCCCGCGCTGGTGCCGAGGTAATTCAAGTCTACGTCACACCGCCGGCGCGGACACCCCTTACGAGTTCGACTCGTGACACAATCACCCGCCCTACAAAGGAGATGAAGGGCTTTGCAAAGGTCACTCTGGAAGCCGGCGCTAACACTACAGCAGAGGTCACATTGGATCTGCTGCGCGCAACGAGCTACTGGAGTGAGATGGAGGATTGCTGGCGTAGCGATGCTGGCTCTTACGGCATTCTCGTGGGAACGAGCAGTCGTGGAAAGTTCCTTGAGAAGACTATCATCGTTGAGAAGACGAGGAAATGGAAAGGACTTCGCGCTTAGAGGGCTAAACATGTATGTTGCTCATAGAATGATTCCAGGATTAGAATATATCTGGCGACGTCAACGGCTTAGAATCTATAATATGTTTAGCTAACCTCAAAGAGAGAACTAGCCTAGCACGAATCGCAACTTATGATCGCAAGACTTCTGCATCTGGATGAAGATGTTTGGTCTCAGCTGCAGAGATTATTTGCTTCGGGGGGTTTACTACCAGAATCGGTGTGTAGCATGATGATCCCACGATAGAAATCACCCCACAGCAACCAGGAGGAACATCCAAAGGTCCAAGTTCATAACGTCACACTTCAAGCCTTGAAAATAGAACAGAGTACCTCTGCATGAATGCATGAGGCACCTCGTCAAGAAGAGCCCGGGATTCACTCTATTGACGACTTCAAAAACATCCATGTCAGCACGACTACTGCCTTTAACCAGAGCTCATATAGCTACAGAGAACGTAGAACACTGACGTCTCATAAAGTATAGACCCCGTTCAGTAGATGAGCTGCAGAAAGATACAGGCACTGAGTTTCCTTTTGCAACTTCTCGATCGATCTCGGAAGTCGGCCGAGCTATCCTTGTCTTTCAGCACCTTCCGATCACGCGCAAAAGGGCCCGACCCCGTTCGGAGGAGACAATTAGCTGGGGACCCCGGAAGTTCTCGGCCGGAGGAACAACTCGAGATCACTAGCGTCGAAGCCTGTAGGCACTAAAAACAAGCCTGTTGACCCCCCTCATACCCCATTCCATTTCTCCGCAATCTTCACAATTCTCCCCCTCAATTTTCTCCCTCTTCTCCGCGTTTCCGAACCCCGCAGAATGGGCGCACCGTCGCTGTCGGTCCACCAGCATGCGTCGTCGTTCGAGCGCTCAGGCGTCTCTCTCGCCAACGACAACTCGAAGAGATAGTAATACGCCAGAACCCGGCTCGGCGAGGTCAAGTATCGCCAGCAGGGCATGTGACGCTTGTCGTGCACGTAGGAGGAAATGTTACTTTGATGAGTCTTCACCCCGTGTCGGGTCCCCCTCTCAGACGCAATGCCGCGATTGCTATAGACTCGGTATCGCGTGCAGCTTCCTGGTGCCCACGAGGCCTCGGGGGCCAAAACGCAGGTCAGAAGATCCGGGGTAACGGGTTTTGGTTTTTCCAAGGTTGCTTACTTGCTCTACAGGAAACGTCTCCCGTCAACATCTGATAGGAGCGATAGCGAGCTTTTCAATGGAACCAGGAACAATCCAGTTGATCGACAATCTACGGAGCCGGCGTTGAGCAACGAACCCGTTCTCATCTTGCCAGAAGGACCTCCTTCTACTTCAAGACTGTCACAGGCCAGATCCCCCTTTGGAGCATCGCAGCATCTCGTCCAGGGGCCTTCCCCACACGCCGCTATTACTTCCCAAACTGATTCGCCTTTGGTTGTCAGTACAGAGTATCCAACTGATGAGTTATGTTCAAGAGCACTGATCAACATCTTGATGGCGGATTACCTCGACCTGGTTTACCCCTTAGTCCCCGTCGTCCATCGACCAAGTTTCCGCCAAGATTTAGCAGCTAATCGCGACATCACCGATCCGGATTTCTTCACGTTGCTCATCAGTCTAGTCGCACTCACAGTTGGTTTGTTGCCGTCGCGGTTCCCCGACTATCGCGCTGTTGATCCGGAAGCCGGTGGACGCTTCGAGACAAGGACAGCTTTGATCAATTGTTGCGCAGAGATTTGCACGAGGCAACGGACCTCCAACTACTGGGACCACGTCAACCATCGAAAATGGGCCGTTTGCTATGTCCTCTCCGTTGCCTGTTTCCAAACAGGACAAGTTAATCGGAGCCGTATGTTCGACGTTGAGTACCTGCAACTATCACGTCTCCTAGGGCTACATCGCATATCCGAGTATGAAGGTCTCAACTGTATTGAGACTCATTTGAGAAAGAAAGCTTTTTGGTTGCTTTTCTATGGATATGCGTAAGAACGTCTATCAAAGCCTTGTTCCGGTTGATGCATATAGACTTACACTTATTTGCCAGACACAATCGAGTGCAGAGTGGCCGTTGGGAGCGGCTCACCTACTTTGGCCCTGGTGAACTCCGTGAAGTCAACTTCGAAGCTTTGATGCCCCTCGATATCGACGACGAACAAATCTTTAGAGACAGAATTCTAGATCCTGTATCTCCAATGGCCTCGCACAGCACGCCCTCTAATATTACACAAGAGCGCCACGTTACATTCACACTTTCTAGCGGCTTTAACCTCCACTCTCGAGTGTTTCTTAAAGGTCTGCGTGAGGCCATGGACACGACGGGCTGTGAGTGTGAACTACGTCGAAGCCCTGCCACCCGCCTTGCGCGTCTACGCGAGCTACTGCAAGAAATCAGATACATGCTTGACGACGCACCAGGCCCCATGCGGCAGTGGGCTTCGTCTGAGGGCTATGATATCTGCGGGACTACAAGCTACGAGAGTGACCGACCAGGCATGTCAAACTACGGTAGCCCTGTCGAACATAGCCGTACAACCGAGAGCGAACATTGCTCGAAAGTCATTCAGGGTCAAGCCGAGATTATGCGAGCAAATATACACGTCACGCATCTTTGGTTGCAGAGCTTGCTGCTCGAAAAGGTCGAGGCTGCAGTACAAGACAGCGCACTTGGAAATTCCTCGGCAGCAGCATGTGAAGAGGTTTCCGTTGCTCTCAAGGCGAACTGGGCCGAGCGGGAAGACATTTGCCGTCAGATGCTTCATTTGTTGCATAGCATTCCATACACATACCTGGAGCCTAACGGACTGTATCTGGTACGTTGCTCCCCCGCCCCTGTCTTAAATTACTGTGTTGACCGTTGTCGCCAGGCGTATAAGGTCCGCGACGTAGCTGTCACTCTCCTCAACTGCCCCTTCGAGGCCCATGAACGACCTGCTCGCCGCGCGGTAGAGTATATGCGTGACTTCACGCGGGCCCTGTCACGGCTTGATCGAAGTGAGACAGTCAATACCAACAGCTTGAAGAGCTGGGTGGATGTGGACCGTGAACCGGCAGCCTGACTGAGATAATCAGGCGAAGGGCTCAGACTTATGAGAAGAATTTCAAGGAATGATGCTACCCAACTGAGATGCACAATCGAATGTGATGTACAATAGCTTGATAGGCAAAAGATAATTCATTCCTTGTTATCATATGCTTATAACCAAGTTGAGTGGCAATTGCTGTGAATGGGGATGAATTATTAATTGTTCGTGAAACGTAGTTATATTGGCCTTGAAGGAAATACTACTGGTAAATGAGCGGAAATTTTCGCGTCAGAATGCGGCATGAAAAAGCTTTGTTGCAACCAAGCAAGTATCCAGATGTATCCATCGTCTGAATTTCCAGATGAAAACGGCGCTTTGTTGTGCTGCCGAGTTCGGAAGCTGCAAAACCTCCGGTAACCCCGCCGCGGCCTGACAATCTTTAATCACGTCATCAAGCCCGAAACAGACCATTTCTCCAGTCTACTACATCATCAACCAACAGTGGAAGAGTATTCTGGGAGAAGCCAACGACCACAAGTATCCAGACACTCGAACAAAGGCTAAAATGCGCGTCGAGAAGTTCCCTCTCTCACCACCAAGCCTAGAGGAGCTGGTCAAGCAACTCGAAGCCCCCCTCACCGCCAACTACGAGCACGCTTCAGTCAGCGTTGTCCAATGCCCTGATTTGCGAAATGCTCCCTTCCACTTGGCCACCGAAGGCTTGTCGGGTGATGAGAAGATTGCAGACGTTGGCGGGCAGCCCAATCTTTTCCCCCGCCCTCGTCTTGATAGCATCTGGTCCATACCCGAGATCGGCAGGCACATGGAGATGAGCTCCGAAAAAGGCAGTTTAATCGGCGCCAGCGCGGGTCCATTCCACGTCATCGGGCAGAATAGCGAGCTTGCGCCAAATCTGAGTTGGCGAGGCGGCTTTGAGCATATCAGCAACCGGAGCCAGGTCATACAGATCAAGCGCGATACCGGAGCCGTCAGTGTCGGGACAAGCCCCTCGGTGGATTGTGGACTAATGGCTAACCTGTACGGATCGCTTGGTGAGCCTGGCCCGGTGCTTAAGATTACGGCGAAAGGACGAAAGGGACCAGAGAAGAGCTTCACTGAGTGCATCCGAAAAGGCCTTAGTGCAGCGTATGGCAATGACAGGACCATCAGTCTTGGCGGGGCTTTCATGGTGAAAGCCGGAAAGGCAATCTACCACATCATGCCCGATTTTCCTCCAGAAAAAGACCTCCCTTTCAAAGATCGGGGCGAGGTTGAAGAATGGTTGACCTTCCACGGCTTTGAATCGCCCATTGTGGGCTTGTGTGTGTTGCATTCTGCGGATCCAGGTAGTAAGATGAACTTGCGGATAGAGCACACGCATGCGTTTTCTCCGGTAGGAAAGAATGCTGGAGGTCATTATCATTATGAAGCCGAGGGCGAGGGAGAGGTCGTTGAGTACGAAGGCTACTTTAACACTGCAAAGGTGATATATCGAGTGGACAGACCATCGGTCATTGCGGTAGGAAATTAGGTGATAGTTAATTATGGATTCCAACGTTATGCATAGAAGATGGTACAAAAGAGAGGAGCACGTCGTAGCCTCTAAGATTGCAGCTGTTTGCTACGCAGTTCTCAAAGGGTTGATACGAGTCTTTTTCTCCTATTGTACACAGGCTACATACAGTATTATTTTTGGCAGGCAGTTGCCCTTTCGCCATTCTTAGCAGTATCTAATCCATAGTGGAAACAATATGCTGACACTTGTTTTGTTAGATGTCCTCTTCCACTAATGGTCTACATCCAACGTCGTGCGATATCTTTCCGAAAGTACATCCCTTGAAAGTAGATTGCCTCTACTGTGCGGTAGGCCTGATTAACAGCATCTTGAAGAGTGTCGCCATATGAAGCAACAGATATGACTCTTCCGCCGGCGGTGCGCAGGATTCCATCACTATCAAGTTCGGTACCTGCATGGAAAATCTGCACTCCTTCCGGAAGCGGTGGTCCAATTGTGATGCGGTCCCCTGTCCTGTATTGATCTGGGTACCCCCCAGCAGTCACAACGACATAACAGGCAAACCCAGATTTCGGGACTAAGCTGATCCTGTGCAAAGTTTTCTGAATGCATGCAAACAACACCGCAACCAAGTCAGTCTCAGAAGAGAGTAGCATCATCATACTCTGTGTCTCAGGATCACCGAAACGGGCGTTGTACTCCAGTACTTTAGGGCCGTCTGAGGTCATCATGATACCAGTGAAGAGCATGCCTCTGAAAGTTCGACCTGGTGTTTCTTCAGTCAAGGCCTCCCTTGTTGGCGCAACGAAAAGCATAGCTTCTTGTCAACTTACCCTCTGCTTTCAGCGCACAGAAAGTAGGCCGTAGGATCTTCTTCTCGATCTCAGTCATATACTGGTCGTCCATGAATGATACTGGCGCATGTACGCCCATGCCTCCTGTGTTAGGGCCCGTATTGTTCTCGAAAATGCGCTTGTGGTCCTGATATGGAGGCAAAGACAGGATGCTGTCACCATCGCTGAATGTGAGAATACTGATTTCATCGCCTTCCATATAGTCCTCGATGACAACAGAGGACCCAGTGGTGGCATGTTTTCCGTGAACCATCATGTCTTCGAGAACTTCGTGTGCCTCTTCTTTGCTGGCCGGAAGAACGACACCTTTACCAGCAGCCAAACCGCTCGCCTTTATGACAAATCTGTGGGACAAGCTGTCGACGTGGTTTTTTGCCTGGTCGATGTCCTCGAAAATCTTAGAAGCTGCTGTAGGTATGCCGTATTTCTTCATCAAATCTCTCGCGAATGCCTTAGACCCCTCAATTTCGGCTGCTTCTTTGGTAGGTGCAAAACAGGGAATACCGCCTGTAAGTGGCCGAGTTAGTGATGCTCTGTGTAACATCAAGTTTAGACGTTTACTCACTGTCTCTAAAATATCCCTCAATTCCGTCAATCACAGCATCGTCTGGGCCAACGACAAGTAGGGGTGGTTGATAAGTCTTTAGAGACGAACACCAGTTCTGCATAGTCTTCAATCTCCTTGTCAATGTTCGAAACGTTCGGTATGCCTTGCGCAGTGCCTCCGCTTCCCGGGCAAACGAAAACTCATTCAACCGAAGGCGAGTGGTTTCTAAAAAGTGGTTAGTTCCAAGTACTAAAAACACCAAAAGTACATTTAAAAGTACTCTGTACGGCTAGCTGAGAGTTTAAATGCCATGCTCAGCAGAGCTGATGAACGACTGACAGAGCCCAGATGGCGAATATTTATAGTAGATACGAAGCCGGTCGTTGCTTAGACATGGCGAGAGAGTAAACTTCTGGCCCTGTCACAATTGAGGCGATGAAATAAGAAAACGAGAGACACTCACCCATGCCATTGCATGCTCGCGGCCACCTTTGCCAACCAAGAGGACTCGGTGCCTAGGGGCGTCATGGGACATTGTTGCGAAGGCTACCTTAATTTTGACACAGTGGGTGAGCAAGAAAAGAGCAAAATGTGCCGGATTAGATAGTGAAGTAATGGAAGAAACATATTAACCTCGCACACACTAACACCTTGATAGAACATGGGCCAACATCGACCAATAGGTCAGCCAAAGTCGACGCAAGCATTGAGGTACCGTGAGGGGCCCTGATGTGGAACAGTCTGGAGGCAAAATGGCATGCCATCAAATATGAACGTTAACATCTTCTGTCACGTTTTAGGTTCAGTGTAACCTTGACCATTTTATTGTATCAACACAGCTCAACATGCATATGTGAAGTATGAATTCTGGTTGCTGTGAGAGTAAACTCGGTTTACACAGGCGGGATAGGCAAACTATAAGTGAGCCCTTGCTGTTACGCGCCATGGGCTATTTGTGACAAAGTTATAAGATTACACACTCAGTGTCGTTCGAATCGCTGAGCTGAGATTCATGTTCAAACTTCCATTATTTTCTCTCCGTCAAAACCCATGGCTTGTGCAAAATAATATCCTCTTTGGTTTGTAAATAACTTCAACGGCCCCCGCGCCTCCTTCACGCTGAATCCTGGAATCGCAATTGTAGTGGGTGTGACCAAACGCCCAAAACTTGACATTCCCGCTTTTGAAGCATAATTCTTCTGACAGGTCTGTTGCAAAACCTGGCGTAACTGGGCTTTGCGCATGCCCTGGATCGATCGCGCGGCTATCTCTTAATGGACTTCAATGAAATACGATTATGATATTCACGTCAGAGCCCTCAAGCTCTGCAACCTGCTCGTTGAGCTAGGCAAGATCCCGCTTGTGAAACTCGTTGTGTGCGCCGACGTCCCAGTCGCTGATTTGAAAAAAATCATTGAGCTCCATGCTGACTGCCATTTCGCTTTCGGCTGGTATGAGTGAGAATAGGCTGCAGCCTAGGATGACAGTGGAGGAGTTGGGGATCCAGTAAGCATATCGGTCCAGTAGTACAAAGTCTCCAACAGAGGTGTCCTCTTGAATCTCTTGCTCAAAGCCGCGGAGAATTGTGAGGGTTTCAGGCCAGCTGGAGTGGTAAGCTTCATGGTTTCCTGGGACGAAGAGAACAGCGCGAAAGTTCCTGAGCTGTCGAATTAGGAAGGCGAGACTCTCTGTTTTGTGAGCCGCAATATTACCAATATCACCAAGAAGAGCCAGGTATGGTGCTCGTGGGACGATTACAGAGATAGCGTAGGCTTTTGGTGCTTCCAAGTGCAAATCGGAGATAATTTGGACGGCCATGCTTGTAGATGATTGTAGACGGAAAGCTGCGTTGATGCCTAACGAAGATCGTTGTTGGACATTGCTCGAGAATGACGACCGTGCAAACATTCTTATGTTGTCAATCAACACTGTGCCGGTGATTGTTCCATAGAGCCGGGCTTTACGACACCAAGGTATTGCATCTGAAATCTTGCTCACACAAATTATCCACTCGATTCATCATCATAAAATATTGATGCTCCTATGTTACAGCAAACTTGTCTACAATGAATAGCTTCACGGAATTCCTCGAGGTTAGGGGCATGGCTGCTTGACCGCCGAAAAGGTGGGGGAAGGACCATGACCGAATCACTGGAGCAAGCGCGCTTCAATGGTTATTTATGAGTCCAACCACAGGATAAAGCTCGACAAACTGATGGTGGTAAATATTGAGGCCTAACCATGCTTTTATCCCCTTGTGAAACATGAACAATAAAGAATTGAGGAACCTTGGCGATCAGGCGCCCGTAAAAGCGGTAATCTCCGCAAACGCCCCCTTGCCCCTTTAGGCCTTTTCGCAGGGCAGCCGACGAAATATTTTCTTCCGTCAGGAGGGTAAACCTTCGCCACCAAGAGTGCTAACTGCAAGCAAACAGCTTCCCATCATGTTCGCGATCCGCCAAGCGGCAGGCAAAGGCCTAGGTGTTTTTGCATCAAAACCCATTCTAAGGGGTCAAAGAATTCTTACCGACCAAGCTCTACTCACCATCTCCTCAACGGATAGCAGCTCTATCCTTCAACAAGCTCACCTCCTCTCAACAGCTGGCCGGAAATCACTCCTCTCGCTATCTATCAATCCCAGCAAATCAAGTGTTTTTAGCTGGCTAGAGTCAATATGGCGAAGCAAGTCTGCTCCGCAGGACACTGTCTCCAATCACACAATCCTCAACATCTTCCGCAACAATAACTTCAACATTGGCAACCAGATCCAAGCGCTCTTTCCTCAAGTTGCACGGCTCAACCACTCATGTGTACCCAACTCGCAGGGAAACTTTAACAAGACGCTAAATGCTTTTACCATCCACGCGACTAGAGACATTGAGAAGGAAGAGGAAATCACCATTTCGTACCTTGACGAGCATCTGGGCTTGCGAGACTCGCGGCAGAGTGCGCTGCAGGACGGATATGGCTTCACCTGCGGCTGCTCCGCTTGCAACCCTGCAACCTGGGAGATAGGCGAGGCACGCAGAACGGAAATCAAACGCAAACTAGAGCATTTCGCCGAGACAGCCTCAGAAAAGCCGAATGACGAGTTTGAGATGATGCTGGCGCTGTTGGACGCTTACAACGCGGAAGCGATTCGTGGACGAGAAGTGTCTACCATGTATATCGCGACTGCGCGTAAAGCGTTCGAATTGAAGAAACCAAAGGAAGGGCAGGACTTGGCCTTGATGGGCCTGCGTCTGGAAGAAGAAGCTGTTGGGAAAGACAGTCCGTTTTTCGTGGCGACGAGGAAAGAGGTATTGGCGCTCGGAGTTGAGGCCTAGAAAATTTCCCGTGGACTACTGTTATAAGGACGAAATATAGTCTAGGAAAGACTTGTGCGTGTTTCAAGCGAATACTTGCTTTCTGACCAAGGTGGTCTGCGAGATGATGTTACCAATATTATTATCGTCTCTCTGTTGTCTTGATAGGTTCTTCCATTGATATGAGTTCCATGCATGGATTCAATTGCTCGTATAATCAAGCTCACCTGAACGATAACATTCATAACAATTGTTCCATGCGCTGCCAGTAATTGTCGATACTCGGCAATTGCTAGTTGAAAATGACAGCGTTATTCCGGTGCGGGCCGGTCTTTAGAGCTTGCGGAGACAGACATTCCCGAATCGGGCTATTAATTCCTAAGTCCGGCAGCGAACAAGCATCACCTGCGTCATTCATTCAACCACCCGAAGTATGTTATAGTGGTGTTGAGACAATCTAACCTCCTCGCTCTTGTAGTACGGATTTTCGGTGCCTCAGACAATCTTGTAAAGCGAGACCAAAATCGCAATATGTCAGAACCGAGAATTGCTGTAGTGTTTAATGATTGGATCTGCATAAAATGAAGGAATGAGCATGATGGGAATTTCAATATCCTACGAGCCAGCAACGATTAGATATATAAAATTTATGGAATTCAAGGACTTACCTCGTTTTCATGTTGAATGCCTAACGCAAGGCTGCCAATACACGATTAAAGAACTGGAAAGACTTGCTATCGAGACCAACGCTTCTGCAGCGCTTTCTTGGCTACAACTAAGCATCTGAGCAGCTGATGCTAGGTAGGACTTCAGATAATTCTACCATGGCTGGCATCGAAGACCGTAGAAAGATCTCTGTTCTAATTACACGCATGGGCGTACAGGAATTGACAGCACCCGCTAGCGGCCTCGGTGACGGACTTTGGCCATGTAAAGTCCGGATTGGTTATGATTGCCCTGGCAAATTGTACCGGCGGGCACACAGGACACGAATATCGAAAAGGATTGACACAACCAACATTTAAATACAAAGATAGTCTCTGCAGAAGTAGCGGCTGTTCAGTTACGACAAGAGATAATCTTGCCTACAACACCTACACTTCTAGTTCAACATGCCTAACCAAAAAATCATCCTCGTAACTGGTCTGTTACCTTTGAAGTCTACTCTACTAACCTTCGTGGCGTCTGCTCAGCGACGACGTGAAGGTAAAGAATTGACAAAACCCGAGACTAACACATGACAGGTGCTAATCAAGGCATTGGGTACGATACCAGTGTGGCGCTTGCCTCCGCATCCCCAGAAAATCATGTCATTCTGGCCGCCCGAAGCCAAGAGCGGGGCGCCAAGGCGGTAGAAGATCTCCGAGCCCGCAATCCAGCCGGTACCGTGAGTCTGCTCCAACTCGATATCACCAGCGACGACTCGATCAAAGCCGCCGTCGAGAAAATAACAGCCGAATTTGGCGTTCTCGATGCGCTTGTCAACAACGCTGGCATTGTCGTCACGCAGCCCAAGGACCGCCGGTCCGAGCTACTCGAAACCTTCAACACCAACGTCGCCAGCACCATCATCCTTACAGAGGCCCTGGTTCCGCTACTCCAAAAGTCCAAAGACCCGCGCATCATAAACGTATCGAGCGGGTTGGGTTCAATTTCCGAGCGTACGACTCCAGAATCGCCGTATTACGGGGTCCCCGGTGGGGCGTATCGCGTTTCCAAGGCGGGTCTAAACATGGCTACTGCGAATATGGTGTTTGAATTTAAGAGCTGGAATGCCAAAGTGTGGGCTTACTGTCCTGGATATGTGGTGACCAACTTGACGGGAGAAAATGATAGGCAAAACAGGATTGATAGTGGTGCAGACAGCTCGGAGACCAGTGCGCAAGGCATACTTGAGATTTTGCAAGGGAAGCGAGACAGCGAGGTTGGAAAGTTCGTCGCTCGCTTCGGGAAACAATACAACTGGTAGAAATTTTGTTAGCGGTATCACATCAAATATGGGCAGACCTCAGATACTTGATGAAGGTCCTAGACCAGGCATATGCCGAGCTAGCTTTGACTGACGGGAGGATTAAACATACTGATTGAACTCCGTTATTATAACTAGTACACTCAATCGTGGGAGACTTTGTAAAAGAAAAGACTGGAGAAGCATGCAGTAAAGATACTAGTTGTATCGGTTTTGACTATGTATAATGGCTTCCACTAATAGTTCTTGTATTTTGGTTTTGCCAAGTAAATTGTGAAACCCTTCTCGAACACCTCCTTAAGATGAAAGGCAAGGCCTACGGATCTACGGCCGCGCTGACTATTCTAAAGCCATCGATCGTTAAATGAATACCCTCACAAACCGGTCATCTAGAACTCCTCGTGCTCGTTGACGGGATTCTGCAAGCTCGAGTCCGTAGGAAAGACAGCGAACTTGTAGATGATATTTCCAGCAGTATCATACATCGACCAAGTGACATAGTTATCGCTGGTGATCCACTATATAGCCACAAAGTAAGTATGCACCCTTTTGAAAAGGTACAGAGAGCTGGAAAGAGCAGAGCAGACGGAAACTTACGTCGGTGGCAGATTCAATAGCTTCACTCATCATCCTATAAGCCACGTCCCAAGGCATATCCTTAAACTCGTACCCCTGGTAGGCAGTGGCGAACCAAGACCAGCCGCCGGATAGGCTCTGCCTGGTGGTCGCATTCTCTCCGAAGATGTTGGTAACGGAGTTTGCGAACTGCGTCGCGAGGTAGGCCTTTGCGCCCTCCTCTTTGTCGAAGCGCCAGCTGGAGTCTCTGAACTCCTTGACGAAGATCTGCCCGACGCTGAAGACCCATCCGGAGAGACTGTACCAGTACCCTTCCCGCATGGGAACGCGTTTGTTGAGATCGCGCGCGACGGGGGCAACCGGGACCTCGGGCAGCTGAGAGATGTCGATAGTCATTACCGGCGTAGGGGGGGTGCAAGTCGAGCTTCCAAAGAAGCAGACATCCTTGGAATCGGCTTGGACAACATTATCTGCCACAGGAACGGCGTTGGCGATGGCTGCCAGAGAGGCAAGGAAGGTAAGGTACTTCATGGTGACGGTTTGGAGGATCGATTGAGCGTCGTGAAATATTCTTGATGCAACAAGTGATGTGAAGAATGAGAAAATCCTGATGTGGCTGATTCTGTGAAATCGGTTGGATCCTTTGCCTCCATATATATAGTTGTACTACCAGTTGCCCCTACTCGTGTATAGTTAGTATTCGATGCCCTTATGAATGTGGATATACCATCGCTAACTAAAATGAGACAGGTCTGCATAGGATTTGGGTGTGAGTAATCGAGGTTGCATGACGGCGGCCGTGATAGCCGTTCTTGTCTCTTCACGATGTTCAGCTCGTGGTGTAGCAACTACTTGACCCACAGCTCAAACCCCAAACGTCAAGATGAGGCAAATATTCTCAATATACTAGAAACAAAGTTGAGCTTGTGATGTGAATAGAACTGGTAAATCTGTGATTAGTACCTGGATTCTCAGCTTTCCAGCTCACACAAAGCCCTGGGCATTCACTTCAGGATGTGGTCCTAAACAACAAGCAGAATCGATAAATATTCTTGAAGGTCCTCCAGGCTACGACATTACCACATACGAGACAATTTGGATAAAGTGGGTCGAGCCAAAGGTTCTTATACAGCAGACCTATGGACCCGTCCGGGTCTTACTGAGCACAGCTCTAAATCCACAATTCATTAGTCAAAGCACCTGGAAATAGCACCTCAAGGCCTTCAAATGTAATAAGCGGAAGTTGCTAGGCGTCATTTTACGATAAGATCACATCCACAAGGAACGGTATTTTGGAAGTGTGTGCAGTGCTTTGTGGCTGGTGATTGTTGTCTGGACGAACTGGCCCAGATGCGTAGATGAACCCACTCCTCTCACCGAAGAGTTCGTATTCAGCGGCCTTGATACTACAGCGCGGGAGGCTCGGGCCTCCCTTCAAGTGTAACCACATTAGGAACGTTCAGCCTGTCATGCCCCAGCCTAGTCCACTTTGAGTCTTTGAAGGTAATGAGATAGATATCACCAAGAGTTCTGCAAAATGAGCTAGAATGTGACTTACCACCCGTTGATGGATAGTTTCCACTTATTAATCATATCGCCAGCTTCGAATCAGTTTGTCTTACTCATAAAACGGAAAGCATCTCTTGTTTAGTCATAGTAGTGAACTGTCCCATAAGGCGATTATCAAAAATTCAGATACCGGATCACTATCTTGTGAAAAATTCTTGAGTAGCTCAAAGTTTTCACATGCTCGACCGCGCCGCACACGGGTTTTGTTTGCTTTGTGAGGCGTCCGAATGCGAAGGTCCAAAAGTAAACCCCACTCTATTGTGTTAGCGACGATCGATAGAACTTGGTAAGTATGGTCTGAATGGTATGTGAAGGTATGAACATTTGTTGATGGGATTTCTCTGTGGCAACATCTATATCGCCCATTGTTCCCAGGCTATTTTAAGAAACCTCTGGCTTATTGTAGACGGTAATATACAAATACAGAGAGACCTGTGCCGTAAGAGACTTTATCACCCTTCTATAAAGACGAGATATGAATCTAGGTCTTTGATGGCTGATAATGCGGTTAGTTATGCTCAGCTCTCCTTGCGCGAAAATCTCTATGATCTCAGCTATCTTCGTAGCGCCAAGACTGTAATGCATCTTAGTTTTCAATATCGAACAGAGTCTATACACCACTATGGAACGCTTTCACGTACCGTCGGATCTCGAATTTGTGGCACTAAAACCCGCCCAATAACTCGTAATTTTCGGACTTTGATGATGAGAACAGTGAACTAGTGACAATTGGAAAATGTAAAAACTGAAGATGCTCGAAGGCCTCACGCTGCTTCCTTTTAAGCAGGGTGATTCATCGCTCCTAACACTGCCCCGCTCCAGCCATTCTCCTGAAGCCAAAAGCGGACTAAGAAGCCAACTGTGGCTGCCAGCTGAGGTAGTAGAACCTGATCATAGTCTTGCAGTAGTTCGTGTAACCGCACTTCGTAAAGGCAAGTCAAGTAGTATCGGCATGTCATGTCTGAAGCTTTCAGACGCACCATTTTGGCTTTTTGCACGATTGTCCTCCAAGGAACGAATTGACCTTGACGCAAGATATCCACCATCGGGCATACCATACGTCCCTCAGTCCTACAATGGCTGCTGCAGATCCGCCATTTTCTGCTTATCTCAATCTTGTGGCTTTCACCATGACCATTACCATTTCGATTTCCATCTCGACAAACCAGGGATTTGCTACTGCAGGAAACTTCTTCAGGATTTCTCTATTTAACGCGACAGACCCAATCACGGCTGCAGCAGTTCAGGCCACCACGGATGCTGCGAACTAGCTTTCCTAGGCTACAGCTGCTTCCTCAACTTCACTGATGATCGCCCTCACTCTGCAGCTGATGCAAACAGATAGGATGTTTGTGAACGCTTTAGAGAACAATATACAACGGGCAGCCGTGGGAACTGGTAGCTTGATAGCTCTAGGATTGCAGGAAGGCGCATTGGCGCTAATAGGACAAGCGTTGAAATCAATTAAAAAAGATAGTGGAAGTATGATACAAGTGAATACCACCCATGCCAAAGTCTCTCAGATTGGAACTGATTAGGATTCTCAGTGGGAATTGCTTGCTGTCGGTGTGCCTTTCTTTCTCTTCTACAATTGGGCGAAGATCCAAGGGTCCTAAATTACGTCGCCGTGCTATTGCGACCCAATCTGTCTAAGACTTGAGGTGCAGTACTAGGGTGTGTTAGAACAATAAGACCGACAGACAGAACCCCTTCCGGCCATCGGACGGCAAGTCCGGAGCGGAAGATGTAGAGAACTTCACAGGCAACGATAAGAATGAACCGAGATATCGCCCCGAACAATAAACGGTCCATGATCCAGGGCCGGCACAGTAAGGACTGTCTAGGACCTAAGCCTGAAGCTCAGTAATCTGTCCTTGGCAAACTAAGTAAACAGTTGCCCTTGTCTTCAAAAATGAACTTCAGTATTGAAACTTGACAGAAACACCGGGATTGATTGAGTTAGCTTTATCGCTTTATCGAAATTTCCGTAGTTCGCATGATCCCATGTCCCGCATCGCCCCCGAGTATCATATCTTCGCTTCCAGGCCATCTGCTGTCGTCTTTCTCGTAGGCGACCCCATGGATATTTCCAATAGCCGTGTGGCGTCCCTCGGATGACCCTACAAAGGGACGGTCATGCATCTCGAACTCTCCATGATTATCGTGCACTCTGTATCCCTGACGACGCTTCGAAGTATTGGTCCCAGTCGGCCGCCGGACCTCGTATAGCTCGCCGTGATATTGGTCACTAGTTGAAATTTTGAGGACATGGCCCAAGAGAGGCTTCAATGACGGGGCGCAAGCAGCGATGATCCCGAGGTAGAGTTGTAAAATGAAAAGTTGTGAATAGCGTGTTGCACGGCAGAAGCAGAGTGTAGGACTCACAATTGCCAGAACTGAATGCTTTGGTAATCTTACACCTATTAGTACTCGAAGTACCTTGATAATAGAGAGGACCCTCATAATGTTTTATTCATGTCCTTCAAGTAGGCGGTTTAGTATACAGCCTTGTTGATGCCCATAGCGACTGCACTGTATAATTGTCAGTAGCCAGAAGACTTATTGGAAGCATTACTGGCTTGGGGGTCAACATACGAGTATCCCAAACTGAGTACAACGATCAAGTAGATTCGAGTTCTCAACATCATCTACAGAGTCCAGATGATGGTCACTGGAAGCGCCGCGAAGCAAACATCGGTAAAGATGTTGAAAGTGATGTTGACCAGTCCAAAGTCAATGAAAAGAGTGATGAGATAGCATTTGTGTCTCAAGCTCTTGTCCCAATAACCTTCCAACGATTGGCAATGTAAGGAGAAGGTCATTCAAGCCATGAAACTGTAGGCCGACACGAAGACTGGCAGTAAGCTTGTCAGTCTCTTGCAAGACAATTGTATGCAATCGAAACATACCAATCAGTGTCCATAGGGACCGTGAGTACCAAACACTTCGGCTGAGTCGGAGCAAGGAAAGGCCATTGGACACCTAAAGCAATGCCAAGCCTGCAACGGAGGAAATTATGAACTGAAAGAAGCTCATGGTTACCACATCTTCTTCAGGAATCGTAAGATTGTTCGTGAAATCCACCAGTGACTCCAACGATCATGGCAGTGTCGCTTTCCTTAGCCCACTCCGGGTCAATCGGCTGTGCTGGCGTTTGACTGAAGGACATTGTGGCTAAAAGAAAGATGCGCGTATGTGCTAGCAAACTAGAAACGAAAATACATAGAAAAGAAAATAGAAGTTTTGGTCAACGCAAACCCCATAGCGCGAGGTTGTGGTCGGGCTAACTGTAGAGGCCGAAAGCTGAGGATCCTACCTATGGCAACGGAACTACAGTAAAAACCAACCACGAAGAAACCGGATTAGCCTCCGGTAAGTGACTGGTGCGGGAAACGAAACTCCGTTGCAGGAAGCGATACAAGTCGCTTGTGTTATCACGTTTGAACCCGCAGACGTTTTGACTTTGCTTGTGAAGGGCCGTTCTGACTTCACCTGCCTCGACAGGAAGAAGGCAACAGACGAATTGTTTCGTGTGGCGAGGCCATTAATGCATCCGGCTCCTTTCAGCACATGATTTCCGACGTGAAGGGCTCGGAGAGATCATTCGTAAACGGCTTGCCTGCGGCACAGAGTATGGTATGCCCATATATGGTCGGCTGTCGTCGGGGATTTGGCCCTTGCATGAGTACCATAATTCAATATATGTCACGCAAGTTTGGGCACATGTTTTCAAGTAGGGTATATGGCAGTGAGGCAATCCGGCGTCTTGAGAAACATCTGCATATTTTTCCTGTTCAAATGACAGATCAGTTGAATCGTACCTTCACTTGATTGGGTCTCGAAAAGGTCTTGGACGACAAGACATTTCCACTTGCAGGTGGAGAATCGAAGACTCCCAGTTTCAATCACAACCTTGATGGCCTCTATTCGATTTTATTCTTTTTCATTTAAAAATAAAAAAACGAAAAGGCACGCATTAAAAACAGGATGGTGCTAGGTTTCGGCCGAGTCGACAGAAACCGACTCAGTCCGTGTTCCCCAATTTCGCATTCTTGGCTGCATGATGAAATCCACGTGCCTCATATCATGCTGAACCCATGAAAAAATCTTCGAGACTGACCTGACCCATGGCATAACCATATACATAATGAACATTAACATCTGCAGGTATTTGGCTCTGGCCTGTAATCCAAGCTTTTCTTGCGCAAATTCGGTTTCTAGGTCAAGAGGCATGTCCTCCAGTTCCCCAAAAGTGAAGGAGACTCAAGGAAGTCTGACTTGGCGGACGAGCACAACAATCTAGGCGCAGGAATCTCCACAGCCGGCTATCTCCTTGAGGCAAGTAATCCGATTTGGGTTATCCCATCCATGACTGTGCGTAAACCCAAGACTTACGTGAATGTGGTTGTCTACGGATAATGGAAGTTGGGCCGGGGCAATCGGGCTTCGGGGCCAGGGGCGAAACAGAGGGAAAAGCAAAAATGTTGTTCGGCGTTCTTCAACTCCAGCAGCCGCATCCGCAGCCACTGTGCCAAGATCCAGACTGTGTAGTTAGTGGTGTGATGCGGGCCGTTGGAGGGCATATTCCCCGAACTCCCCGTTGGAACGAACATTGGAGTCTTAGAAGAGTGTGGAACTTCTGCATGGCTTGGCAGGCACGCAGATTGGAACCAACACACTGCGACTTTCCAACGAACAGAAGGCGGACCCTGTCGTTCTCGCTTACCCCTCTTTCAAATTTCAGTCGGGGTGGCGTTCCCCGTCACGAGACTGACTAGCGTACACTATTCGTAGCGCAACGGCGTTGGAACGACTGCTGCGCGGACACACAATCCGCGGCAACAGGACACTTTCGTACACCCGCATACGGGAAACACATGGAGGGTGTGAAGCCCACGGCACCATCTAATGTTACCGGTAGCACGGCACACAGCTCGGGAAATATTGAAAGTGCCGTGTTGAGCGTGTTTGCGGGAGTTCGTTTGCCTGTCAGAAGGGAGGTTTGGCTTCGAGACACGCTTAAGGTTGCGGGATCTCCAGATCGGTCGATATGGGGTATCGCTTGTTGGAGGATCTGGCTTTAAGGCTGAAGGTTTCCTTAAGACGACAATGAACTTCTTCCACAAAGCACCAGGTCATCCATACTTCCCTCGGAGGTTCTTCTCTATCTCCATCCGCCACCCACCACCCATCGCCGTCCCATTTATCCAGTGGCCGTCAAGTTACATCGGATTTCTTCCTCAGGCCCCACTGCGTCAGTCGCGCGGGCTTTCGCTCATGGATCAGGGGTTCTTTGCGGGGACGTCTTTCCTCTATGGGACGACAACACCGATAGACAGAGCAAGAAGTCGAGTCTGTCCAAGGGCCCCTTACCGCATCTTCATGCAAGGCGTTCATTAGCACTAAAAAACTAAAATCTACAGACCAATCTAACTGTGGCGATTGTTTGTTCTGCCAAGCTGACTGCAGCCGACACGCTGAGATTACATGTAGACACAGCTGCCGTGATAGCAGCGACGTGAGGGAGACATTTTCAGTGTATATAGAGGCCGTTCGAGTTCTCCAATACCACGTTGTCCCATCTCTTTTCCTCCCCAGTTTCACGTCCTCTCCCCCTGCAGATTCTTCCCTCTTCGTGACGCGGCAGCTTGCATTCGGAACATTCTTTAATCAAAGTGCGATCATCCTCGAGAAAGTATGTATCCCGCCAAGATCATGGCCGTCCTCGGCCTGTCGGCTGTCGCTTACACCGCGCCCCTCGATGCCCCCCTCGAGGCCCGTGACGCCGGGGGCATTCTTGCAGACTTGCAAGCCCAGGCTATGGAGAACCTAAAGGCCGCCGAGGCCGACGGGACCATCTCCAAGCGTGAGGGCTGCAACCTGTCCAACGCATTCGTGCGTAAAGACTGGTAAGCCGATGACACTGACGGACAATCCTTACCTTCAGAATGTCATATCCTGACTTTCTGTTCTTAGGGCTGCTTTCTCCATTAAGGAGCGCAAGGAATACATCAGCGCTGTGCAGTGCATGTTGACCTCTCCCTCCAAGTCCGATCCGTCTTTTGCCCCAGGCGCCCGCAACCGCTATGATGACTTCGTTGCCGTCCATATCAACCAGACCAGTTTCATTCACGGCACCGGTAACTTTCTGACCTGGCACCGTTACTACACCTGGGCGTATGAGAATGCGCTGAAGACCGAGTGCGGGTACAAAGGAACCCAGCCTTACTGGAATTGGTTTGCTGACACAGATGACCCGCGCAAGTCTCCTGTCTACGATGGCAGCGAGACCAGTTTGAGCGGCGATGGTGCATATGTGCCTCATAACGGAAGTGTTAGCCTTTCCCCCTTTGGCGAAATATTTATGCCGTCCGGCCATGGTGGTGGATGTGTGACAAGTGGCCCTCTCGTCAAGTAAGCCGTCCTTTGATTGCAATTAAGCAGATTGTCTAACAGTATATAGCATGACTGTCCACCTCGGTCCTGTTTCCCCCGGCATGCGCGGCCTGGAGGTGAACCCCAACGGTCCTATGGCGTACAATCCTCGCTGCCTCCGCCGCGATTTGAGCGCCTTTACGGCCTCTACTTGGATGACTCCGACCAACCTGCTCAATGTCACTATTGGCCAGGCCTCCAAGAACATCAAGACTTTCCAAGATGAGTTACAGGGCCGTTTTGACCAGGGTTTCCTCGGTATGTGCTTTCGTCCTCAACAGAGACGTGAATGCGACAGAACTAACCTTCTGCAATAGGTATGCATGCCGCAGGCCACTTCGTTGCCAATGGCGATGCAAGCGACCTCTACGCCTCCCCGACTGATCCTACTTTCTTCCTCCATCATGCCATGGTTGATCATCTTTACTGGCTTTGGCAGGCTCTCCACCTTCGGGACGCCTTCGAGATCGCTGGTACCATCACCATCCTCAACTTGCCACCGAGTCGTAACGCCACCAAGGAGGACATCATTGAGATGGGCGTTCTCACACAAAACCGCCCTATCAAGGACTTGTTGAACACGATAGATGGCTCGCCTTTCTGCTATATTTATCTCTAGAAAGCAGGTCAACGCGCTACTTGGCTGCTTATGAACAACTTCAGATGTTATGAAGGGATGATATCATCGCTCAGCTAAAAGCTACTAGACGATAATACATTGGCGTAATGGCATGCTGAAAAGCTTTTTATCGTTCTAGTGAAGTTACTGCTGCATGAATGTAATGACTGTGAATTCGCCATTTGATGTGACGGATGAGTCCCATTGCATACGTTCAGATGGTTCATTGTAACTAGCCTGTCAGGGCTTTGGGTGAAGATAGTTTTCTGGGTAGTCTGGAGACCAATAAACCAAATGAGTTAACTGCATTCTCAACAGTAATTATAGTCAGCAGCTTTTATACATTAGCATTCTCGGACAGAGTTGACTCGTTGCACGATAAACTTAGCGACTTTGAAACAGCTTAGGGGACGTCTTAACGCAGAAAGGGAATGGTACATAACTAGAGAACAGTCATGATGATCGAGTCTTACTGTTTGTACGATAAATGCGAACAGTATTAATCGTAATTCAAACTTACAGTACCTGCTGCTGTCCCTGCACGTGACTAGTAGCGATGGATGTTCTTTGTGAATACTGGCAGCTCACAGCGCATACAGGCGATGACAAACCTGCACTTGTGATAGGCCTAGCATAAACACCTGAAATGCAGGACGCGACCCCCTTACCCTCTCCTTCTTTCTTTTCTTATTTTGAGTCGAAGTATGTGAATTGTCGGCATGAACAACTTGTACGAAGCCACTTTACCGGGACCAGTTCGCCATCCTCAACAGATTCAAACTGAATCGAACTGACGGTTACTTCTTTCCACTTCTTCAATTTTGTCAGATCACTTTTGTCACAAGAGGCGCATAATGGTCTTACGTACGTTGAACGAGTGACGAATCCAAGGCGCCGAAGCTACAGCCTCGATGGAACGAGAAAATCAGCTAAATGAAAAGGGCCAGAAAGGCTCCTATGGATAGAAGGGCTAGATTCCGGTATGAGAACTATCATACATCTTTCAGTGGCTTTGTTGATTGTGATGCTTCACCCTGTTTGCATCCCATAATTGACAGATGCTTCCTTTCTCTTGGGATGCGGTGTTTGGTAGGCGCCGACGTAGGGTTGCCACAAAAAGAAAAGATGCATCTTGACTAAAACTAATTGTATGCTACAATTGTGAAAACTTGATAGTCGATCAGGGATGAGACTTGACTCAACACCTTCAAGCAAAACCCAAACTCGAGAGTGGCGTCCTTATCGCTTGACTCACATTGTTCTACAAAAATGCGGCAATTTGAAGCTTATCGTTACATGGCTTAGGGTTGGAAAGTATCGCGAAAGGCTATTGTCGGCACTCCCGAGGCATGAGTGATGTCGGATAATCGATAGTACTGTAATCAAGACGACATCTTGAGCGTATGCAAAATCACAAGCAATGAGCTAGTACATGATATTGAAGTGGTTGTTTGCGATGCATTTGATAAATCGTCCCATGTCTGATGTGTAACGTGCACTGCAACTCCTTACTCTGTTCTGTGAGTGACCAACTCTAAAACAACCCGCCTCCTAAACTCCAAACTCCGGCCATCTCTTATTGGATATCTCTCTACCAAACACCCCTCTAGCTTGCAAACAATTCCAAAATATCTACAAACCGCTTGTGTTGAGGAAACCTGTCATTGACCAGCCAAGAGACTCTAGTGCTCCAAATCAGGTACGACCGAGTGTCGGCATTTCTTGGGCGCTCTTGTGTGTGGGTCTAGCCAGACTATCAGACTAATGCCCAGGACGCGGCCAAGATCAACACGAGCGCCGAGACCTTCGCGTCAAGAGCGCCGAGTACCTTGGCGCCACCACTGCTGCTGGCCGCATTACAGGATTTTGCTGAAAGTTTTCCCTCAGGGTCAGGCCAAGTCCCTTGCGAACAGTTGGCGCGGTCAAGCATGGCCTCTTCGACTTCGTTCGCCAGGGCCTCATCCATCTTCAGCCCGCAAGCATCCGAAGCTGGCGAGTCCGAGGACACTACAGGGCAAAGGGTGCCCAAGTCCTCTTGAGAGCCGGTCACCTCAAAACTTCCAACGAAAGCCGGGCATGCGTTTGTGTCGGCAATGGCAGGAAGCTGTCCGGCGTTGGGGTCCGTCGTAAAGATTACATTGCCTGCGTAAGAGACGTCTTGCGGTTTTGAATCCGCGCCTTCACCCGTCGCGTTGATGGGACAGGAAGCGAACAATGTCGTCGTGTATTTCAGTTGGAATTGCCGTTGTGTTGCGTTAACCAAGTCTCTGCGAGAGGCATCGATGACCGTGATGGTGTTGTTGGTGGTTTCATTGCGCTTGTCTGTCTGCCAAACACCGGATGAGAACAATTGCCCGGTCTCTGAGTCGTTGATGTCGGTGTAGCCCGTCAAATCCCATTTCACCCAGAACTCGAAATACTCGTTGTCGGATATCCAAAGTTGTGAGGCATTGCGAACGGCGAAAACAATGGGAAAAGGCCAAACGGGTTTGTAAACGGAGTCGTTTCGCGGGAAGATGAGATCAACCTCGATGCTCGAAGGCAGAGCAAAGCTGAAGCCCACAAGATGCAAGAGCATCAGCAAATGGAACGTGCGGCTCATCTCGAAATGCGTGACAAGTGTTGTGAATTGGTGCAAAAGAAGTGACGGGTTGGCGGGAAGAGGTCATATAAGTGAACGGGAGCCGTCGCTCGCCGAGTAAAATTAGATCAGCCAAGAGTTTCCGCTGTCAAGAGGCGATCCTTATAAAAAAGGAATGCTACCGGGTTGACGGCACATAAGGGCCAGGGTGACCTGGGTACTGAAATGAGTGTCTTAACTATCCGAGTAGAAAGTCTGCGATTCCTCGGTCTGGAAAACTTAGAAAAGCGGAGAGATACGAATTGATTAAATTCGTGTTTGCTCTCAAACGGTCCAAAACTCAAATATTGTAATGGCGCCCATTCAACTTAAATGCTCAATTAGCCTCAAATACCTGCTTCGAGCTTTAGAAGTCTGGTCACGATATCATTCAAGTTAGTCAGACATGGCTTTCAATTGGTTATGGCTACCATCACAGTCAGCTTACGCAGGGACCACACGCCATGCATCGTTAGCGTGTTATTGCCCCTCGTATTGGTGGTCAATCCTGTCTATGTTACCCCTTGACAGTTCGTTCTGGCACCAACGGTCATCATCTCAGCATCCTTAAACCCTCTGCTGCCTTTGATCCTTTAAATTTCGCTATCGCCCAGCCACGCAGAAAGGATGCTAGCGCTGACGGAGGTGCCAAGTACAATCTAATTAACAGGCAGCAACCCAAGCAACTTTACCATTCTTGGGTCACCGATGGATGTCAAGATTGCTAAGAAGCTGAAAAGATTCTTACGTAGAAAAGGGATTTATTGTCGATTTTGATACCGCTCTCTACAAGAGAAAACACAACCGAATGAGAGCGGTGCTTAAAATGTATCATTGTAGAAGGGAATGTAAAAACTGTTGGTTTACGAACAGCGACCGGTGCAAATGCACCAATGATAAATGCTCATCTCAACACTTGAGTATGAGAAGACGAGATCTCAGTAGTCAACCCCCCATACAAAAGACAGGGCGCTGCCTACCACATGAGTCTTATCAGACCACACAAGCCTTCCCCAAGACGTGGCGTTCCAGCTGGGCGGTGAGCTCATCGTCACGGTAACCTCGTAGCTCAGTTTCTCACCCTGCGCGACAAAGGAAAGCGTCTCAGGCTTCACGGAGACCTTGACCAAGCTAGGATCATTGAGCGAAACGTGGACTTTGTATTTGCCGGGATCGCCAACGTTGGTCACAGTGCGCTTGAGCGTCGTCGTGTAGGTCCCATTCAGAGGATTATCGTACAAAACGGAAAAAGAAGGGTAGTTTAGGTTATAAGTGCTGTAGGTTTGGTTGGAGTTGCAAGTATAGTTGCTTCTTGTGATTCCGGCGATGAAAGCCGACGTAGTGTTAACGGCACACAGGAAGCCGAGGTAGTCGCTGGGGGAGATGTCGTAGATGAGGCCAGGATCCAAGGCAGCGACTGGCTCCACGTGACCATTGCCGTAATCGAAAGGCGTGGCGGGTTGAGAGTTCGACGAATCCAGCAGTGGCGATTGAGTACCCTTCGTGGTAGTGTAAGCCGTGGTCATGATGGCCGAGCGGATGGCAGCAGGACTCCACAGCGGACGTCTAGCCTTGATGAAAAGCGCGACTCCGCTCAAGTGTGGGCAAGACATTGATGTACCGGAGATGACATTAAAATCAACTTTTCGAGTATCGGCGTCGAGACCCGTAGGGCCCTTGTCTGCCCAAGCTGCCAGGATAGAAACACCTGGGCCAGTGATGTCTGGCTTGAGGAGCTGGGGCACTGGGAGGTTCGGACCACGTGAACTGAAGGCGGCCATAAGTGGAGCGGAAACCCCAAGTCGAGTGCCCTGGAAATCCAAAATCGCCGTTCCGTTGCCGGTCTTTGCATAAGTCTGCACTTCGGCTCCATCCGTGGCAGTGAGCTGTAAAGCCGGGAGAACATGCGCATCGGCAATCAACTCAGCACCGTTTTCGGGAGCGTTGACGAGCACCATACCGCGTCCGCCAGCGGCTTTGACAACTCCTCCCTTCTCGACTCTACCGTTCTGTCCTCTGACACAGACAACGATCTTCCCGGAAACCCTAGCTGGGTCAAGGCTATCCATCAGACAGAGCGACGCACTGGTGGTATTGCCCTTGCCGGCCTGGCTGGCGTGGATAAGAGGAAGCACCTCACCGGCTTCAAGCGGTTTGATATCAGGGACAGAACCATTGCTGTAGAGGGAGTAGCCGGTGTAGTTCTTGCCGTTTCCAAGAGTAACGGTAGCAGGGAAGTCGCGGTCGATAGTACTCGCCCCGACACTGAGGATCCAAGGTGCAAGCGCAGTAACCGTCCCAGCTCCAGGTCCGCTTGAATCGGGGGTCAGTACTGATGTAATATATCATTTGATCCAGGGAACCAAACTCACCCATTGCCAGCAGACACTGAAACAAAGATTCCTTTCTGCATCGCAGCATAGGAACCAACATTGATAGCGTCAGTCTCATCGAAGAAAGGCTCATCAGATCCAAGAGAGAGAGACATGACGTTGACACCGTCTTCGATAGCCTTGTCCATGGCAGCGAGGATGTCTGAGTTCAAGCAACCCTGCGGCCAGCACACCTTGTACATGGCAATACGAGAGCCTGGGGCCATGCCACGGGCAGTACCAGACGCCTGTCCGAAAATACTGGCGTTGGGCACTATGGCACCAGCTGCAGTGGAAGAAGTATGCGAGCCGTGACCATCGTCGTCTCTAGGGGATTGGTACAGTCCCGTCCAATTAAATGACCCGGTGCCGTTGGTTACTGCAGCGACGTAGCCTTTATAGAAGACCCTGGCACCGACGAGCTTTTTGTTGCAGCTGCTGGCCGGAAAATCTGCGCTTTCATCACATTCGCCCTTCCAATGGGACGGGATGGGAGCCATTCCATCATCTTTGTAACTTGGTCTCTCCGGCCAGACCCCAGTATCGAAGACTCCAATGACGAGGTTTGACTCAGGGTTGGAGCTGTTGAAGCCATCTGTCTCATCGAGATAGGTACCCTGTTCGGTACCGTATCCGGTGCCAAGAAGTGCTGCGTCCTCTAATCCAAGAAAGGCCGGCGACCTGCTAGTGTGGAGGTGGTTCACCTTATCAATAGTGACTGACAGAACATTGGCCTGATTTCTCATTGCATTGGCCTGCTCGTCGGTGAACTTAGCAGCGTATCCGTTGATTGTGTTCGTGTAAGTGTACAACACATTGGCGGGGTCGGCAGAAACGGATTCCAGGGAGGCGTCGATGAGAGATCTGCGGAGGAGACCAGTAGCTTGGGTGTCCCGCATCTGGACGATGTATGTCTTGTAAAGTTCTTTACCCTGAACAGCCCCTGAGAGGAGCGAGCTCAGGAGGAAGAGCAATGATGTCTTCGCCATGGCTTTGGCGTCTTCACTTCTGTCGGCTTCAGTCTTGGCGCTTGGGAATGTCGCAACTAATGAAGCATGTATAGGACATTGAACAGGAGTAGCCTCCTGTATATACTCCAACGATCTGCTCGGAGTTCAATAGTCCGGCACTACTGTGCTAGGGTAGTGTGGTGCTGATAATGGATCCAATTCCTAAGTTCTGGACATCTAGGTAGTAACCTCGGCTGCCTCGCACCTCGCGATATCAAAGTGACGAGAGCGAGTTTGTAGCCCATCACCCCCAGGATAACATAGCATTTACACTTGTGACCTACTAGTTGCTACTTTATATGCAATGGGAGGAGAGCTTGATATAGTAGCGCTAGGCGTATTCCTGTGGCTGTCTGATTGGCCAAGCCTCCGAAGCGAGACCATTTGAACAACATTCAAATAGATTACTAGGCACCCTTAATATCAAGAACTTTTCTTCGTCCGACACTACCGTTGTCGCGAGAATTAGCCATGATAGTAGAAAGAGATCTTATTTGAGAGGGAAATTGCCATGTTGCATCCCGAAGTTGCCGGTTCCTTATTAGTCGTGGTCAGTCAACTGTCGATGCAGGTGTTAAACTTTATAAAGGGGTCGGGCTTTCCAACCTCGAGCTAATTGGAAGTTTGTGGGGTAGGGAGCCGTCCAACGCAAGGGTATCTTGGCTTCAATGACAGCCGACATAACACAGCCTTCGACCAATAACGAGGATTTGTAGTTCATCACCCTAGGCCCTAAACGCAATTCGGTTAGCTACTAGCTCGTCTCAGATCCCCTGAATCTCACTTTTTGCTAAATCAAGGAGGCAAAACATGATGAGTTATTATCTTTCCTGTCCTTCCAGATTGTAATAACGCCACTAAGACCATAAAGGCTGTCGGCCCGGCCCCAAATACGGGAAACTGAGAGCTCATGAGCCCATGTTGTAAAGTCATCACTAAAGAAGGAAAGAATCAATATTGGTGTGGTATGCTTGGTTGACTAGGACAGAACCTTTGGCCAGCTCTGGAAAATTAGTTCTGCTACACGGTTTTATGCCGTTTTGCCAATGTTATAAGACATCATATCGGTATGCACTAGCAAACTAGCTTATATTTGCGCTACTTGAATACTACAGTGGTTTTCGATCGATATCCTTGTTTTGACCCTATTCGTCATGCAAAACTGGCCGGTTTAGCAGTCTGAGCGGGTAGAGCGGGAACAGCTTGTGCGTTCGGCATGGGACAAAACTTCTTCTTGATGGCTTCAACATCACCGTTTGCGTCTAGCGTGCCCAGCATGTTTGAGAGCTCACCCATCCGTTGAGCAATCGAGATAAACATGCCAGCTATGGATTCAAGGTTAGCCGCTATCAAGCATATGTAGGATGGGAAGCGTAAACTAACCTTCGGCGTGCCAGAGATAGTGACAGTGGAAAGCCCAGACACCGGGGTTGTCTGCAAGAATGCGAATTACAATGTGCGAAAAGCCTGGTATCGTTATTGTGTCACGACGCATTGGATTGTCGAAGTTCCAGGTCGTTTTGCTGGCTCCGAACAAGCCCTTGCCCCATCCAATGACTTGGAAGTTTTGACCTAAATTGGTTAGTTTCCACGAACGTCAAAGTAGACGAGATATGCCGAGTACGTACCACTGAAGACTTGTTAGTCTCGATCCTCTTTGGAATCGAACGGGATCAACTTACTGCAAGTGCCAAGGGTGTACCATCATAGCGTCAGAATTCACTACGATTTGAGCAGCCTTATTGTCCTGGGACACCAGAACGAACTGGTCCTTCCCAAAGTCCAATTTTGGTTGCGGCGAATTCAGGTTCTCTGGCGTAATGTCTTGCTGCAGGACCTTCCAAAGTGATGCGTCATCCTTGAGTGGAGTATAGAGAGTCTTGCAATCATCAGCGGTTCTGCCATCATGAGAGATTTAAAAGCAAAAGTACTCACCTGGTTCACATGCGTACGAACAACGTCCCCTATACGGTCTTGCCTGAACGTAAAGTAATGGTAGTTCCTCTCGCCAACGTCGTAGGCAGGCCTGCTTCTCATCGGCTTTGGCAAATTGAACGGCAGATCCTCGCAACGGTCTCCCCATGGCTCCTTGCCGATTTCAGGGTTCGACTTGCTGTCCAGGTTCCATGCCTTACCAATCGGCACGGCGCCAACATCCGTCTCGTCGTATGACAGAATGGCGGTAGCACCGAAGGGCGTACCGTGCATTCCCGACATGCCCTTGTGGTTCTTGTGGGACATGTGAAAGCATCGAACGGCAGCGTCTGCGCGTATTAGGTAGTTCCCAGCAGTCCGGTTGGCGTGAACGAGGACGGAGTAGCGCTGGCCGGGGTTCATGTACACGCGTGTGGTTGCGATCGGAGCCACTTCGACGCCGTCGATCTCGACAATCTCAAGAATATGGTTGTCAACCGTTACAAATATAGGAGTCGATGTGCCGTGGTTGATGAGACGCAGACGAGCCTTTGATCCGCTTGTGATTCGTGTGTTGAAGAGAGAGCCCCAGGTACACTTGGGATCTCTGACCGAGTTATGGTCTCCCATGCCATGACCTTGCATGTTTTCCATGTTATGGCCACTGTGGTCTTCACTAGATTTCCCTTTGCCGTCATCGTTGCTTGCCACTTTAGAACAGTTGAAAGTGTTCTTGCCGTTAATGATGACGTTGTCCGGGGGAGGTTCTCTGCCCGGCTTCTTAGGGGCCCAAGGCGGATTGGCGCTCAAGTACTGAGAAAGAAGCTAAGTGAAGTGTTAGCCATGCATCATGGTGAGACTTGTATTGTGAAAGGGTGCATACAGTGCTTCCATACTCGTGGAAAAGGTCGCCGACCATGAGAATCTTATCGTCATCTACAGGTGGGATTTTTTCATCAGGGTCATGGATGATCTAGGCAAAATAAATTAGTAACGACACATCCAATGCATACCTCAACACGGCAACCAGCAGTGTGGGGGTTGATTGGGGGATGAAGGGCTATCCCACCAAAGGACCAAAGAGTCCATCCGTAACTTGAACCGAAACGTGAGCGTGCCACCAAAACGTCCCTCGTTGATCGGTGACATTGAACTCGTAGGTGAAACTTTCGCCGGCAGGAATGGCACATTGAGTAACTCCATGGACACCGTCCATCCACACGGAATTCCTTTGGTCGATGCCGTGCCAGTGAATCGTCGTGCTCTCCTCCGGCATTTGGTTATGGACCGTGACACGGATCGTATCACCCGTGTTTGCTTCAATGAGAGGCCCAGGGGATTGTCCGTTGACTTTGATCATCGATTTCTCAAATCCATCTGGCGAGTACTGTTCTCGGGTGATGTTAAACACATACTCCCGGAGTGAAGTCATTTTTGAAACATTGAACCCCGTTTTTAAGTCGAATTCCTGTTCTGGAGTCAACTTCACTGCTGGTGTTTGTGTGGGAACCAGGGATGATGTGATTGTCGGTGTTATCGTCGTCGTCAGCTCCGGAACTGGTTCGGGCGGCGGTGGTGGCGGTGGCGGAGGACTTTGTTGTTGTTGTTCGTCTGAATGATTGTCCTCATCGTGGGCAGGCTCCGATGGCTGCACCTTGGATTGCACATTGAAGAATTGAGCAAAGATGAAAGGAATAAACGTCAGAATCGAGATGCAAGTGAGGACCATGATCCACCTGAAGGTCTTCTTGTGCCCCGCATGGCGTTTGTAGTTGTCCTTCTCACTGAATCCGGCTGTGTCGGACAGCAGGCGATCCTCCACGTCGGTTTCCGACGATGATCTGACCCCGAGCATGGGGTCCTGCTCCTCGCCCATCCCGTCCCGCGGGACTAGACCTGAGCTCATCGTTGCGGCGCTAGAGAATGATAAAAAAAATACAGGTTACTGATAAATGTACACACGAAGCGAACACACAGGAACAGAATGAGAGAATATGAACAGGGCCAGCAGCAGAGTGCACCAGGTCGCTAACGACTGAAGTTCGCCATTCGACTCTGCGACGTTGTTAACAGGAAACACGGAGACGCGAAGGACCACGTGGTAAAAGGGGCAAAGGTCAGGATTAAAGAGGAAAAGCTACCACTCAGGTGGTGACAGGATCCTTTCTTTTTGCTTATATCCGAACAGCAGGCACTTAGCGAGACGGGGCGATGGAACCTTGGGTCCAATGCTAAGCGAAATCCGGCAATGCGCTCGTGCGCCTAGCAACTCTTTACTTGCAAATATCTGTTTGTTGAGTCGGGCGATCTGGAAATTTCGGCTCAGTGAAACTTGAAACTCCACCGTGAAATGCACTTTGGCTAACTTACGACGGTTTCTGAACTTTCTGCCCAACTGTTTGTTGTGCGAGTGCTCAGGCTTCCTGTGATGGATGCCATCCTACCTGAACCAAAAGTGCTTCAGATTGTCGAGCCAAATTTCATGTCGAAGAATATCCCCTTAGAATGTGCGACAACCCCGAGTCCCAACTGCATTAATCATCTTCAATACTGTACGGTACTACTCCAGACACTTGATGAGGAATTGAAGGGTAAACCTTAGGGATCTCTTACCACCAATAGTGTAGGACGGTAAGAAATCTTATCACCAACGTTCGCTAAAAAAAACCCCTGCCAACCCAGCGCCTAGAATCGTCCCGTCTCGAATCCTCGCGCCAATGCGTCGGGTGTTTCATTCGCACGGTGTTCACACTCGCACCGGAAGGACGGGTGGTACAATCAGACGCCCCAGCGAATCTGAGATAGTGAAACATGGACATCGACTCTGGTGCCTGTAGTGTTCTTTCCAAATCCTAACTTCGGTTTTCCAGGTTATGAAGCAGGTCCAAAGCTTCAATTGTTTCTGACCAATGTTGGTCAGAGGGAAAGAAGCGTGAAGTCTGCTTAAGTGCATAAACATGGTCGAGCCAAGTGACCAAACTCCGGTGGCTCTCACTGCTTCAAAGCTTGCACCTTGGTCTCGGTAAGTGCTGAGCGGCAGTTCACGACGTCACAGACCCGTTGCTACTAATACAGGAGTGTATCAATGGCGACTGAATAGAAACCGACACAGCCATCCATTCTCGTGGGAAAACTCGCGAGTATCCTTGCTACATTGTCTTCAACGCGTCAAACAAGATAGCGGAGTCATTGAATGTTGTTACCGTGATAAAAGATTTCCTATAACGTATCCAGTTTATTTCTCCCATGCATGATAAGTCACTTTCAACCATTTTAACGTGATCTCTTGAACACGTTAGTAGGTTTTCAGAAGGCCTTTACTGCACGAGTATCAGAATTGCTTTAACAAGATTCCTAAGCTATCACACAATTGCGTCTCATTCTTATCGACGTACATAGTTAATGCCTAGACATGATGTTAGTTCAACAGTTTTTGTATTTCAAGTAGTTGGCTGGAACCTAATTCAGTCTTATCAAATCTCTTGTTTAAATCTTTGTCTGATCAGAGGGTGATTAATACATCTGAGGCTCCGCATAATCATGTTTGCGGCATCTTTCCTGTAGGGCTAGAAGACTGCAAATAACCACTAGCAGTTGTTTGTTCAGGCCTTGTGTTGGTGTTTGACAACTTGACTATGCAGGGGACAGTGGGTTTTCCAAAGGTCCTCGCTTTTGAGTCCCCACTAGCGACTAGGGTTAGCAGCAACGCAGGTTCTAACTCCTCTACTTTTAACACTAGTTCTAGAGTGGAGTTAGGACAAACGATCAACATGCAGCTGGAATGTTTCTTCATGTACCGAACTCTTCGGATAGCAACGCATCGGATGTGGTGCCTAACACGGCATGGTCTACCTGAGGCTTATGAGACCACGCAAAGAGACCCTGCCGCGACCAGGCTTAACAATTTGTCAACCAAGACACAGAGCGGCAATTGAACATGATCTGCTTTACTGGTTCCCACGTTCTCAAGTAACTCGTTGACCATTCTTTGCGGGTCGAATCTGATGAGCCGCCACAACGGGAAAGTGGAAAGAACCCGCTCCGCTTTTGGACCCGATGGCAAGCTGATCCCCCGCGCCGTTGCTGTACATATGTAGGTGATTACATTTGGCAACTATGAGTAAGCCTACATCCAGAGGCAACAAATGTACTGATAATCCTGGCATCTCACAGCTCTCATAGTTCCATAAGTAGCAAGAAACCCACTCAAACTGATTCCTGCCTTGTTTCTGTTTGTTTTCACTACCTAAAGCTCTTGTTCCTTCCACAGCCAACATTTTAAGCATTCAAGATGACCCAAACACACGGAAACTGCGATTCCAAGTTTCAGGGAGTCCGCAACAAGTTCCAACAATTCATTGAATCTGGACAAGAACTGGGTGCTTCCCTTACCGTCAACATTGGTGGTGAAGAGGCTGTCAATTTATGGGGAGGTTTTGCAGACGCCAACCGCAGCTGCTCTTGGAACGAAGACACAATCGTCAACGTCTTTTCGACGACAAAGACAATCACCGCCCTTGCTGTCCTTCTTCTCGTTAATGATGGGCAGCTGTCCCCGCACGACAAAGTATCAAAATATTGGCCAGAGTTTGCCGTGAACGGGAAAGAGAATATCGAAGTCCGCCACCTGCTATCACACACTTCAGGGCTTGCGGTTTTCGAGGACCCAATCACATATGAAGATATGTACGACTTTGACGCGACAGTGTCGAGGCTTGAGAAGCAGCCGCCTCGTTGGGAACCGGGCACGGCTTCGGGATATCACGCCTGGACCTACGGGTACATGATCGGAGAGCTTGTGCACCGAAAGACAGGGCTGACTCTCCGGGAGTTTGTGTCCCAAAGGATCGCAAGTCCCCTCGATGCTGACTTTCAAATCGGCGCTAAGGAAGAAGACTGGCACCGCATTGCGGAGCTGATTCCCCCTCCCCTTCCTCCATCCGACTTCATAGTGGCGCCCAAGATTGACCCTGACTCTCTGCAGGCCAAGTTGTTGCAGCCTATTCCGGATGCCAGTGCCGCAAACACAGGGCCCTGGAGGAAAGCCGAGATTGGCGCAGCGAACGGTCACTCGAATAGTCAAGCGATCGCTAAGATTTGGTCGAGAGCCCTCACAGTTGGCGACGAAACCAAAAGACTCTTGTCAAAAGACACCATCGATCTCATTTTTACAGAACAGTACTATGGCCATGATCTTTGCTTTGGTATCCCCGTTCGGTTCGGAATTGGTCTTGGCATCAGAGGAAATGGTGATTCGATCATCGACTCGTGGACACCCGAGGGCAGGCTCTGTTTCTGGGGAGGTTGGGGTGGTTCAATGGTCATCAATGACGTTGGTCGTCATATTACCATTGCCTACGCGATGAACAAGATGGACGCTGGCTCTGCGGGAAACGAGGCCATAAGGACCTACGTTGCGGAGATTTACAAAGCCTTAGGAGTGCCTATCCCAACTGCAAACGACATGCTATGAGAGAAAACCAAGGGTCAATATCGGAACAACTTTATAGTGTGTTTAGACCATAGCTAGTTAGATTCGTTGACTAATTTGTTTTGAATCTCCTCTTACTCCAAGGACAATTATACAAGTTATGGCTGTGAGGGTCTGAGTCAAGCCAGATGGTTAAGCGTAAAAGAAGACATGGCCAACAACCACAATCCAGGTCCCATCAATCGCTACTCAAACCTAACGCAATATTGAAGGATTCTTCGGCTGTTTTTGTCTTTAACCCTTCCGTTGTTACGTTCCTGGGCTCTAGAATTTATACATAGAGGCATGCAGAGTGAATATAGAAACTTCTTCCCCAGCTGTGTTTAGTCCTTGAGCGTCTGGTCATTGGCGAATAACAAATCAAGTGTGGCCAATCAGTTAGCTTGGTGTAGCCTACATTCCACACCAAGAACCCAATTAGCTGTTATTTTTATGTTGCTGGTTCTAACATAAGCTCGGTTTTGATGAACTCGTCTAGATCGGGGTCATCTCGGGCGAGTGACCATAAACGTGGGTGAATCCCTGTAGACGTTTTATGACTCGGACGGGACAAAATCTTTACGCGAGACCTTGGCAATCTCAAGGGACCGGCCTCCTACCCCCAGTAGGTTGAAGCGAGTTGCACCTATTTCATCCCTAGCGATTCGTTGGCGAAGACATGCTAAGCTATTAGTTGCATTAGCGATGCTACACAGCTGCATTGGTGCTTACCAGAGCGCATAGCTAGGCTGGAAAAAACTCTACCTTTGCCTGCCAAGTTCTGAACAAGCAATATAGCCGGTAACCCGTATATCGGGCTCTAGTTTTCCTTCATTGAGAGCGCTAGCCTTGACCATAAACGGTTCTTTGGGCGCACATATATCTTAGCCGACGACGTCTGCTGTCCAGTGCATGTTTCCTCGTTCTTCCGGTTGCGTTGTGCCTGCTCCGCAAAGTTGAGCCTTTACCTCTTTCGTATTCATTGTCAATGTTTCGAGGCCGACGTGCAATCGCTCTCGAACATGCGGCTTTCAATCATTGGACTTTCCGCTCTTAGCGCAGCCTCTTTCGCACAAGCCAGGTTCAACTCCCGTTTAACAGACCCCAACATAGACCAGGAAACTGCCGAGGAACTTCAACAGCTGGCCAGTCTTGCTCAGACTGCCTTAGATGAGACCAAGTCGCAAATTGAAAGCGGTGAGGTTCAGAAACGTGGAAGTATTTGCACATGGCATAATGTTCGAGTCCGCCGGGAATGGTTGGTTACCCTCTGTCGTAACCTAATCCAAGGTTCCTTTCCGGGTCTGGGCGCGTGTTCACTAGGTACATGATAGAGCTGACTTTTTATTTTAAGGGGCTCGCTGAGTAGACAAGAGAAGCTCGATTACATCAAAGCAGCCAAATGTCTTCAGTCCAAGCCGCCTCGTACCCCATCTTCCGAGGCGTCAGGCGCGAAGACGAGGTTTGATGATTTTGTGGCAAACCACATCAACCAAACTCTGACCATCCACTACACCGTGAGTCAAATGTCGTTTCTTAGATATACCTAATCTGACTGACTTGCGTGTGCAGGGCAACTTCTTGTCTTGGCATCGATACTTCACCTGGCTATACGAAGAAGCTCTCGGCAACGAGTGCGGCTATAAGGGCACCCAGCCGGTGAGTGCTTGCCGAACCTCAAATCTTGCACCAGCATTGACTGACGGTTTGATGATCGCAGTACTGGGACTGGGCCAAGACAGCCATTACCGGTATGGAAGAATCGCCTATCTTTGATGGGAGTGAAACTTCCATGTCCGGAAACGGTGAGCTCATCCCTGGCGGTGAACCGATTGTCCTTGGAGGTCAAAACGACCTTCCTCCAGTTGAGCTTCCTGTCGGCACCGGCGGAGGATGCATAACCTCAGGTCCCTTCAAGGATATGGTTGTCAACCTTGGTCCTGCTGCCCTCGATCTGCCCGGTGGTATTTCTGAGTCAAACCCCGAAGGACCCTTATCTTACAATCCTCGCTGTCTCAAGCGGGATCTAACGACTGATGTCAATCGTGCCTATGCAAACATCACTGCGGTTCTGTCCAATATTCTCCAGCCCCAGAATGTGTACGACTTTCAGATGCAGATGCAAGGTGTCCCAGGTAGTGGCAACATTGGTATGTTTATTCCAGACCCAATTTCATAATAACAGAGCGGCTTCTGACTAGTTTCATGCCAGGCATCCACGGTGGCGGCCATTATGCTCTCGGAGGTGACCCCGGAAGAGGTAAGGATGCATTTCGATGTGAAATCTGGCTGTTCAAATGACACTGACCCTCTCCAACAGACGTTTTTACTTCGCCAGGAGACCCGGTTTTCTATCTTCATCATTCGATGATTGATCGAGTGTGGTGGATGTGGCAGATGCTTTCGCCCCATGAGAGACAATACGGCGAGATTGCCTTGAGCGGAACCCACACGTTTTTGAATCAGCCGCCCAGTGCCAATGCGACAATGGACGATTACTTGGAGTATGGATATGTTGGCGGACAGCCCCTTAAGATTCGGGACGCTATGAGCACTGTTGCAGGCCCATTCTGTTACGTGTATCTTTGAGGAGAAACGAGTGCTTTTCGCGAAGGTCGTTAGCCACATGGTGACCTGTTGGATACGAATGTGACCTCCCAAGACTATTATAATTGTGTGGTAATGGTACTGTCAGATTAAACCTTTGACATGCTTTTTTCTTTCGACCTGTATTGAATAGAATGTATCAAGGTTAGTTTCGCGGAGTAAGATCACTTCACAAAAGCCAAAATTCTAGTTTTGATTCTGACGACGTTGAGCGCAGAGCAGATGTGGTGGACTTACGGTGCAAACATGGGAAGTTAACATTGCAGATCGTTTTTTCTTCCTACCTCATCTACTCGTATGTATCAGGTTTGGCATTTCTCAGTCGGAGAATTAGCTACATGCTCTGCCAATAAGGACTCTTTGCATCCTTTGATTTGGGCTTGAAGTGACGACTGGACTAGGGTTATGGCGTGACCGCTTCTCGGATAGATGTCGGGAAAAGTACCCTTGCCTGGCAGCACATCTATCGTTGGGATTATCTCGAATGTCCACTCTTTAACCTGAATATTGCCGCAATAGAAAGCAAGAGGTGCTTTCAAAGATGCTGGGTCGACCTCCCGCATCCACTTGGCGCGTGGTATCATCGAGACCTTCCATAGCGCAATGCCGTTATCGCGCGTTGGCGGATCACTAATGGTGAGTTCTACTTGACGCTTTAAAACCCCCGCCAGGCCACTTAATCGACATCGGGCAGCTTGATTCAGTACGTCTTCAAATTTGGGAAGAGCCGCAAAGATGTCGCAACTCGGCCTTCAGTCTTCGAAAGGTGATAGCAAAACCCATGATGTCTTCCGTGGCACCATTTTCCAAGCTGTTTTACTTGGTCTTATCAGCTTCACACAGCCTGGAATATGGACGGCGATGAACAGTAAGTAGACCAGGTGCGGAGCTCCTCAAGTCCAATACTGATAGATTATTTTACGTTAGACTTGGGGGCTGGCGGCCAAGCTGAGCCATACGTCATCAACGCAGTGAATGTAGTCACTTTTGTGTAAGTCTCCGCTGAACAATACACACGAGAAGCCTGAGTTTCGCACTGACATACTCACAGCATCATGATCGTATTGTCGCCCATAGCGAGTATGGTCGGTAACTTGATCGGCATGAAGTGGATTGTTGTCATCGGAACGATAGGCTATGTACCATATTCAGCCGCACTATACTGTAACTCCATTTGGGGAACACAGTGGTTTTTGATCTTTGGTGCGGTGACTTGTGGTATCTCAGTATGTAATCGAGCTCTTGGTCATTTCTGGGAGTTGTCTGACAAAAAGTAGGCATCCGCATTATGGCCAGGTGAGGCAGCCATAGCTGTCGGCTACCCAGAAGTCGCTCGTCGAGGTACCTGCAGTATGTTCAACCGACTCCAACGTCGCGATCTTTCCAACTACTTGTTGCTGACAAAGAGTGTAGTCAGTATCTGGATGGCCCTTGGTAAACTTGGCTCTATCATCGCCACCGCAATTCAGCTTGCCCTTAACAAAGACAGCAACACTACTGGCGCCATTTCGTCGTCTACATATCTTGTTCTGGTTGCCATCCAATGTCTGGGGTTACCCCTTTCGCTCTTACTGGCACCTCCGGACAAGCTAGTGCGCAAGGACGGGAAGAAGCCTATCTTTGCCAATTCCCAGCGATCCTTCAAGACCCAGTTCAGAGGGTTTCTTGCCCAGTTCAAGCGCAGAGAAGTTCTGCTACTAATCCCAGCCTTCATCACTGCGCAATGGGGCGTCACGTACCAAGGCAACTACATGGCTGCGTACTTCACAGTTCGCGCTCGCACTCTCTCTGGGTTCATCATTGCGGTTGTGGGGGCCATCTCCAACGTACTTGCTGGATGGTGGCTTGATACTAAACACCTGAAGAGAACCACCCAAGCGCGTTGGAGTTGGTATTTCTTGCTGGGGCTGTTCACACTTGTCTGGATCTGGAACCTTGTTGTCCAGGAGCGCTGGGCAAAGCATAGCCCTGGTCAGATTGACTGGAGCAGTGCCAGTTACGGAGAAGGACTCGCGATCTTTGTTCTCTACCGGTATGTCTACTTTTCTTGTCGACTCACCTTCATGCAAGTGTTTGTCTGCTAATGATCCGTAATGTTGCTCAGAATTGCCTATGAGACCGTTGGTGTGTGGCTCTACTGGACTCTTGGTACCTTCGACGTTGAAGCCGACACGATCGCTCTGTCCATGGGCGTTCTTCGCTCAGGCGAATCGCTGGGGTCTGCCTTGGCCTATGCCGTTGGCTCCGTTCGCAGCGCTTCCCTAATGACGAACCTCATTATTTCCGTTGTGGTATTTTACGTCGGAGCACCTGCAACAACTTGGGCTGCTCTTCTAGTCAAAGAAAGGCTTCCAGCAGAGTTGGAAAGTCTGGAAGGCGATGCAGAGGTCTCTGGACAGACTACCGCGCATCAATCTGATGCGGAGCAGGTCGAGGTGGACTATCGCGCGAAGGCTTAAAGGCTATCAACTTGGAATTGTCGAGGCACCGGATTTGATACACTTACTTGAACCTGGAGATGAAAAAGAAAAGTACAAATACCTCGGAGACAAGCTACAAATGGATGTTTATCTCACACAGTACCCACAGATATCCATCTCTAAAAAGCACAACCACGTCGCCAAAAGCTTCTGACGCTGTATGGGGTGCTCACGATGTCCACTAGGCTTGTGGCAAGCCAGAGCTGCACAGCTTTCGGCGAGATCTATGTATCGACACTCTCGATGAATTGTCCAAGGTTACAGTGTACGTTGACAGCACTCTTGAGGGAGCGAAAGGGATGAGATCAACAATGTTGATGTCACAATGGGATATTGGAGTGGTTCAAACACATGAATGCCCTTGCTGTCTTATTGCCTAGGGCCTGTTCTTTCTTACGATTACAGCCCATGCTGATGCTGACTATATACATGTTCCGACCTCCTCTAAGCCGACAGACTTATACAGTCTTCGCCACGGCTCCTCACAGGCCAAGATCCTTCTTCAAGGCAGGCAAGACGGTGCCCTCGTTGAATTTCCAGACCAGCCCACTGTTATGTCCCGTGAACACCGCTCCGGCCCAGTAAGTGTTGCGCTTGCTCTCCAGAGCCAGGAACTTGCTGTAGAACCCGGCCTTGATCTCCTCGGCCGAGACGCGCAGGTTGAAAGGGCCGTGGTCCGAGGAGAACGGGACAGTCATCGTCTCCACCGCATTCTTGGGCACACCGCCAACCGCAGCGAGCGTCGCAAGGTTCTTGCGGAGGATGGCTTCGGCGTCGGCGGTGGTGTAGTTGGTGCTGTCGAAGCCCACTGACACGAGGAAGTCGCCGGGTGAGCCGTATGAGCTGAACCCGTTGGGGCCGGGGATAACGGGTTGGTTGAAGGGGGTCCGGAGGCCAACGTTGGTGAGGCTGGTGTTCAGGCCGGGGATGGTAGCGACGGCAGCCCAATAGCCCACGGTGGAGAACTTAGAGAAGAGGGTTTTCTCGTCGGCGGTGAGGTCGTAGGCACCGACGTTTTCAAGGGTAGGGGGGATGGCAACCAGGAGCTTGCGAGCGCGGATCAGCTTAGGGGGCTGGTTCGGCTGCTGGACGCGAACGGTGACGCCGGTGGTGTGCTTGCCGATCTTGACGTCGCGCTTGACCTCGACAACCGTGGCGTTGAGAAGGACGCTGTCGCCAAGCTCCTTGGCGGCAGCGTTGTACAAGGCTCTGGTGTCGCCGTTGGCAGACACGATGAACTCCCCAAAGATGCTGTTAAGCAAGCCCGGTCCAAGATTCTTGATGCCATACAGCGCGGGGATGGTCGAGATATCACCGGTATACCAGTTGAACTGGGCGTTGATGGTCAGGAGGGCTGTGAAGTTATACTTCTGCGCGAGTTCCCCGAACGGAATGGTGAGCTCCTCCGGCACCGGGTGAGGCACGAGAAACCCCTGGTCGATCCAGGGGTACTTGGTCAGGACGTTGGCAGAGTATGCCTGCACGGCCGCCTGCAACGCCGCCTGCTGCGCCGCGGCTGCCGAGGCGTTCTGCGCCGGGATTGGGAAACCGAGCGAGAAGTCATAGCTCTCTGATGGACCAGCGGTGGTGAGGGGTTGGTCTTGATGGTGGAGACGTTGAGGCGGGAGAAGTAGTTGCCGACAGTCTCTGTGTTCTCGAAGACGACAACACCGACGTTGGCGGGAACTAGCGTCTTCGGGTCCGTGTAGGTCTCGGCGTGGCCTCCGATCTGATTCTTCTTCTCAATGACGGCAAAGGTGACGCCGGCGTCTTTAAGGTTGATCGCCGCGTGAACACCAGCGGAGCCACCGCCAATGATGGCGACGTCGACATCGATCTCACACTTGGGGCGCGGCGTCGCGGCAGCTTGGGTAAGGTAGAGGGCCCAGGCGGGAGAGGCGAGCTGGGAGAGCTTCATGTTGGCAGAGACGACTAACGAATGAAATGTAATGAACGACTATGGTTGAAATGAGTGTCAGAGGCCAAGGCGGGCTTGGTTAAGGATCAGCTACTAAATGCAACTTGCCGTGAGAAGAGTAACGATGTAGAAACCAGAATGGCAAGTGACAGCTGTATTTAATCAAAGAAAACCCAAGTCCCTCAAAGTTTCCAGAGACATGGTCCACCATGGCAAACATACCCGAGCCTTCGGTTTGCAATGTAATAATTGGCAAGTAGGCCCGTATGAGGCAATGTTCGACGTTCACCAGGAGTCCCCAGGCTGTGTAAGTTGCTTGATCTGGTGGTTGCGGACGAACTAACCACCGAACGGTGGGTCACCGAACAATGGGTACGAAAAGCCGAAGTTGCCGGAAGAATACTTGAAATTGGACATTAATAAATAACCAAACTCTTGCTTGACAACGCCCTGTTGGGAGAGTTGCGCAGCCCCACCAATCACGTTTAAGCTTTGATTGATCCCAAACTTTGGAAAGTTGACCCTGGCTCTGTGTTCAATATTGTTCGTTTTAAAGATCGAAATGGCACAATCCAATACCAAGCCTTGGAATCAAAAGCCTGAGCAGTGTCTTTTCCTTGCGCAAAGGTGTGTGCTCCCCGCGCGCGCAAGCTAGGGTTGATCGAAGTCCATTCATCTCCGGGCCGTTGGTATATGGTGCCGTTTCGCTCTTCACCATTGAGGTAACATTGTGTCTTGGATCCATCTCGTGTCCGTTGTTCGCTCATAATTTGGTAGAGTTGTTTAAAGTTTCTCAGGAATAAAAGTCTTGAAGCCTCCCAAAACATGATTTTGCTCTCGTCGTTCAAGCTAGAAAGGGGTGTTGAATGTATTAAAGAGAACTGTTGGGAGTCATAACGTTCAAAACTGCGCAAGTAGCTGGAACAAGAAAAGACATACGTTAAATAAACTCAGAGTTACAAGGTATGCGTCGACCAAATACATGAAAGCATTAATGGAGCTTAGAGCGGTATAATCTGGTCAACCCACGCGAAGCCATGGCGTCTGAAAACCCGAGTCTAAGTAGGTCCCCGGTGCGATACGGTCAAATATGAAAGAGGTATCGGAGTCAACCAAGCTCCTAGATCTTTGATCACTGCATCGTTGATTACGTTCCACGAAAAGGAAGTCCCCATTATGTTTTATAAGACCCTACAGGGTCAAAGAATTCTTACAGAGTTCTTCTTTACTGAGGTTTCCATAGAGTCGAAACGTTCAAGGGATGAACATCTAGTCCAACGGTCAGCACGACCGAGCAAGATCGTTCAACGGGGATGGCTTGTGTAATTCAACACTTCCTTTCGGGAGATGACAGAGAAAAATCATTTAGGTGCTAAAAACCAAACTCTCCCCTCGAACCTTGATCAGAGTTTCCTTGTCCAGGGCCAAGGCTGAGAAACGGCGGTGATAATTCCAATAACATGACGTATTTGATCTGGCCAGGCGTGTTATACGTTCAAAAGCCGCTCACTTGCATGGGTTCAGAGTCACGTAAACGCCAGGTTTCCATAAACCCAGTGGCAGAGCCGATGTTCGGTAGCCATGTGTCGCTAGAGAAGAATAGAAGTGAGTACCTGTCCAGAAGTATGAACATCCGAGCAGACTGGTAGATAACAAACTCGTCGTCTTATGCCGAATGAGAAACTCCTTGGTTTAGTGATGGTTGCTCGGCATAAATACAGCATACAACCTCAGCCATGACAGGAGAAGTAAACACCTATCCATTCTTGAATCAACCTTGATCGGCACAATGCGGCCCCTCTCCTCTCACGCTTCGTGAGAGAGCAACGCAGAGCGCGCGAGAGAGAAACCAGCTTCGATGCCCAACTCCACAAAAGCACCCAATCATAACCATTTTCAAATTCGAGTCCGACTGGCAAGAGAAGAAGTAAACAAAGAAACACTCCCCACCACACTTGATTCCACCCAGATATCTCCACCTGCTTCCAGGTCCTTCCCCACTGATGGTTTTATTGTGGTTTTGGTCAAATTTTTTCACGAAATCCGATATGGTGTAGTGGCCAACATGATGCCCTCTCATTCCATTGAGAGGTTAGGCATAGCCCCGAGTTCGATTCTCGGTTTCGGAACAATCACTTTTTGCTCTAGACTTTTGCAACACTTGCTCGACACGAGAGTGGCCAAGCTTAATACAAACTATTTTGAAAGCCAGTAAGACACACTTTTTGCATGTCGTAACAGTCATTTGTATGCTGCCATTCTTCACTGGTTCTTTTTAGACCTTTGGAATTTGCGTTCAGAAGTCAGCGGTCGCATCTTTGGGTTTCCACGTGCGACGAGATACTATATCGCGACCTGCTTTATCACCGACGTCTGTCAAGTCATTTGATTGGCACAGGCGGGACTGCTCATAAGCCTCGTGCCGCGAACTCAATACCACCTGGAGTCACGTACTGATAACAATTTCAGTAGGATGATGTCGTCCAACTATGTGTTTAGACGACTGCCCAATGCTCGCATTCACTATACAGTCACAATCGTGAGCGTCGTCTTCACAATGGATGCTCACGGTGAGCCATCGGCAGTATGGTTACCTCGACGCTGATCAGGGTCTTGTGATCCGTCCCTCGGCCAGTAACGCGCTCGCAACATGATAACCCGGTCCATCCCAAGCGCTGACACGAAGAAGCTCCGCTGGCAGCCCCGTCGCACGCAAGTACTCATGCTCCCGCGCGCCAGTGGGAAAGCAAATGGAACAGCACGACAAGTGCGTCATGGATCCCGGAACCCGACGCGCCGGTGCCTCTACCCCTCCTCTCCCATCTTTTAAATCGTGCTTATGGGGGCCCCATCATTCAGAGTTTAAGCGCCAGGAACAAGAGACATCCATCCATCACGACCCCGACGGGAGGGACGGGGGAGGGGATCGTGTTGTGGTGCTAGCTTCCAGAGGGTTTGGGGGGAAGACGGCCGAATAGGAAAGCAGAGGTGAAAAAATCGACCCTCATTCGTCGCAAGGAGATGCGGGAGATCCCTTCGCGACCAGGGGGTCGCTAGTTGCGGAATCGGGAAATGGGAGACAATACGTACGGGCGGCGGTGGCGACAACGACTACAACGGTGTCGTTGATTCGAGGCGCGTCTCGCGATGCGTCGAAATCTGTCTACGATGTAGATGCCGTTGGACCAGACACAAACCAAGAGGTCGTAATGCGAAGTGATGGCAAGATGGAACAATAATCTACTGGGTGAGGCACACAGCATGCGGAGGCGCCTGCGGCAGGATGGCGCAATACCTAGAGAAGGCAGATATGAACATAGATCAGACGTCTTCTGTGCGCAAAGTCTGTGGCCAGCTCGGATCCTGTCACATGTTGCTGTATGGATGGACCTTTCCCACTGAACCAGCATACTGGGGCTGCGTACGTGTCTTTTGGTATGATGATGACTGCAACGCGTCGTGTTATCCAGCGCCCAGCTTCAGCTTCGCAGATCCCGTGTGCTGGAAGCTTGGCAATAGCTGGAGGACCATGTTGTCAATTGCCCGCCGATGCGACGCATCAGGTAGATCCTACGCAAACGTACGACCGCAGCCGGGTGACAACCCCTCATAAATTGGGCAGTTATTTGGTGGCATACCCGCCCTGGTGATTAATGACAAGTGAGCCGTGTCACAGCCCGTTCCGGCTCAGAGTCTGGACCGCAGTGACCGCACAAGTACGCGAAAGGGACCTGGAGCGCCACCGGTGTTGTATCTGTGACTGTTGAAGATTGAAAGACATGGGTGAGATTGGAACAACGCGCGGAGTGGAAGGAGATGCGCCGCCGTAACAGCAAGGAGGCTCGGCATCTCGAAGCTGACGGTGGTCCACGTCCGAGTGGTTCCCAACTTTTACGCAGTCAAGCGCTGTTAGTCGTCGATAATAGCAGATGCCGGGCGACGGGAGTGGCAGAGTTTCTCCTCCACCCTGTCCTGGCCCTCAGACTGGCTCATTGTCCGTGTACCCCGGGAGAGGCGTGACACATCCCACCCACTTGAATCGTGGGACTAGGCAGCTGACCATTAGGCAGCTGCAGAAACAAGGCGCTTCCAACCACTCAGATAATTCGTACCAGGTGAATTGCCATCCAATCGATGTCGCGTCGCGTCGTTCGCCTGCGACTCGTTGGTGCGAGAATGATACGGAGTGCGCTCCGCTTGGTTGACGACGCTTTTGCGAACCGAAGTCTTCTCTATAGCTCGCCTACCTGGTATCCAGCAGCTCGTCATTCCAAGTGCGAGGCAGCCGAAACAGTGAACAGAAGATAAGCCAACAGTTGCAGTCATTCTCTGCCCACGCCGCAAAAGTGGCGCGCAACGACCGATGCACCCGGCAACCCCACTGCGACTGTCAGCCCGTGAGACACCCAAGGCTTTGATACACCGACTGCATGTACTTGCTGCAGTCAGAGTTCTCTAAGTAGCTATCTCCGAGCGGCCGGATGCAGGACTCGTGACTCCGAAGCCCTCGGGGCGGATCCTCTCAATGGCTCCGGTACGAAAACACTGATGCGCTCGTGTGCCGAGTCTTCTCCATCTCTGCCGTCTCATCGACGTTCACAGGAAACAAGCTTGCAATAACAGTCATTGGAGAGGCGAATCAACTCAGCGCCATGGTGAGCGAACACAATGGTCTCTGTGACATAGCGTCGCATGGATACGTATTGTGCTATATGTCTGGTGTGCGCTTTGGTGCATTAAGAGGAGTACCTATGAGGAGAAGGGCGACACAGCCGGTCAACCAACGTGCTCTTCCGTGAGTGTCACTCCAAATTTCCCCACCCACGGAGAGACTAGGAGCCTGGGAAGAGGCGAGGACTCCCTGGGAGAGGTACCGCATTGTCCCGTACCCGGTACGTACTCACGGAGCGGCGCCCATTGCTCGCCAGGGAAGTGCTGCTTCAGAATCATAATAGATTTCGTCAGAGAATTATGCGGTGTGTGTCACGTGGGGCCGAAGT